CTGGAGTGCTGAGGGTCGTGACAGTGGCCTCACAGCCTGGCTCTGCCCTCTGGATCCTACTGTCCCGTCTACTCCATCTGCCCCAGGCAACTCCTTGGGGACTTGGAATTGTGCCTCTCCAGGCTGAGCAGCCCAAGCCAGGGTTCTCTGGAGTCTGCCAGGGGGGCAGGTGTGTGTGCCCTGATTTAGAGCTTGTGTTTCCCATAAATCAGAGGCCTGACCCTGGCTGAGTGCGGGCCTCATGGGCAGAAAGGTGGAAAGGGTCTCTTGATGATAAATGTCCCTGACAGGCTTTTAGCAGCTCAGGCAATAGCCCACCAGACTGGCCGCTGTCTGCTAACGCCCTGCGGTCCTCAGCATAGAACCCTTGCAGGTGGGAGCAATCTACTGGCCTGAGGCGGGGGTCGGGGGCAGTTGTCCCTTGTCCGCTGAGAAGGAAGAGAAGCTGTCTAGGGCTGGGACCTCTGCTTGGACAGGGCTGAGAGGGGAGCTGGTCCCAAGGCACCTTCCCTGAGTCTGTGGCTCCCCAGGGCAGATGAGGCAGGACGCTGGGTCTGAATGGGGTTCCCGGGCTGTCTGCCTCCTGGCAATTGGCTCCTCCCCAGAAACCTGCATGAACCGCTGAAACTGGGGCATGGCCCTGTGCAGCTGCTGGAGGGCAGAGGTAAAGGCAGTCTGGGGCAAGAGACTGCTCGTGCCCTTTGACCCAGGAATGAGCCCAGAGAAGGGAAAGTCTGTGTGCAGGAAGGGGCCTGGACACTGACTCACAGAGAGGGCTGGTGCTCCCTCAGACATAGTAAGTCACCACCAGGGTCACCCTGGAGCAGCCAGAGGCCTGGGGTCAGTGACAGGGTGCTGGGATCCATTAGTGATGCCTGCCACGGGACAGGCTAGGAGACCTCAGCTGTCACTCTTCCTCATCTCTGGAAGAGACCTGGCTCTGCTGTTTTATAAGTAATTTTTGTCTAATCCTGGAAGGACTTTTCTTTTGAGAAAATCTGTGGTTTTGTTTTTAAATGCCTTTTTTTTTTTTTTTTTTTTTTTTTTTTTAGACAGAGTCTCACTTTGTTGCCCAGGCTAGAGTGAGTGCCGTGGCGTCAGCCTAGCTCACAGCAACCTCAAACTCCTGGGCTCAAACGATCCTTCTGCCTCAGCCTCCCGAGTAGCTGGGACTACAGGCATGCGCCACCATGCCCGGCTAATTTTTTTTTTTATATATATATCAGTTGGCCAATTAATTTCTTTCTATTTATAGTAGAGACGGGGTCTCGCTCTTGCTCAGGCTGGTTTTGAACTCCTGACCTTGAGCAATCCGCCCGCCTCGGCCTCCCAAGAGCTAGGATTACAGGCGTGAGCCACCGCGCCCGGCCTGATTAAATGCCTTTTTTTAATCGCAAAATTTACATAGCTAAAAAAATGACAAAGTTAAGATGACAAAAACCACCCATTTATCCCACCATCTAAATATAGCCACAATTAACATTTTGATGTATTTCCTTCCAGTTTTTTTCTCAGTTTTGATAGACAAATATACACGTGTGTACACCCACACATGTACACGTATAATAGCAAAGCTGCGGTTATTGAGCACTTGCTGTAGCACCTCACTCTTGGGCTCCTCATGCATAATATCTCATTTAGCCCTCACAACAGCCCAGCAAGGAAGAGATGATGATTTACATTTTACAAATGAAGAAAAAGAGGCTTGCAAAATGTGAGCAGATGCACAACGTGCTCAGATTTTCATTTTTAGAAGCTCCTGGTGAGAAGAGTATATGGAACGTCCTGGAGGCCAGGCAAGGTCAGTGGCTGGAGCGATGGTCCCATGGGGACAGGAGCCGAGGCCCGTAGGTGCAGTGTCCTCCCTCCCTCCCATGCCCTGGCTCCAGGCGCTGCCCTGCTGGGACAGGGGACAGGGAGATGCACCTCTCCTCCCTGTCTGGCCCCATTTCTTTCAGCTGTGGTGGAGGCCGACCATTTGAAAGACATGGAACTGTCACCCACCTCCTCTCATATCATTAACAAATGACGCAAGTCCACATTCTTTCCTTTTTTGTTGTTCTCTCTCTCTGAATGTGTAGGTGTGTGTATAATTTTTCTTGAACCATTCGGGGGTAAGTTACATATAACTTAGCCCATTATCCCTAAATACTTCAATGTTTCCTAAAAATACAAATATTCTCTTACCTAACCACAGTGTATTATCAACTTCAGTAAGTTCAACATTGCAACAGTACTTTCATCTAATCTGCCGTTGTTGTTTGAATTTGTTAAATAACATCCTTAATAGCATTCTCCCCTGCAGTGCGGGACCGGTCCAGGGTGAGGCGTCTAATGTGTCTACCAGCTTTATCCTGAGGGGAGAGAGCAGGAGTGAGCAGACTCCTTCCAGAGGGGGGCCCAGGACCCCCTCGTGTTCGCAGAGATATTAAAATGCATGCATAAGCCCCCAGAAACCAGGGGCTCAGGGTGTCTGCATTTCCTGGTTGGCCAGACATGACCAGGAAGCCCTGCGGCCATTCTCCTGTCAACTGCCTGCTTCGCAGCCTTATTAGGCAAGCCTAGGGACCCACTGTGTCTTTGCTCAGTTACGATCCCGCGTGGTCTCAGGGGTGTCACACAAAAGTGCAGTGGCCTCTGCAGAGTTGGGGAGGTGAGGGAAGGAGAGGAGGCTGGGTGTTCCCTGAGTCTACCCTGTTCTTGAAAGTTCCTTTGTAAAAAATCCTGAGACAATTGATTCCGTGAAAGTCGAGGCCGGTGCCATGTGTTCACCTTGCACCCAGCCCCTCAAACAGTGCCTGTTCCCTGGGCACCTCGTGAATATTTGCTGAACAGATGGATGTTGGCCACTGTTCTTCTCAGCTGTGTCTTTCACTTATATAGAAAAAGTCAGGGGAGCATTCTGGTGGGTGGGCTAAAGAACTTGAGACCAGACGGTGGATGCAGGTGTGGCTGCAATGGCGGGCAGAGGGCCTGGGGTCTGGTGCCTGATCAGACAGCGTGGTGCAGTGTGATGTGCAAAATGAGTAGGTTGGTCACTGCTAGTCCAAACTTCTGTAACTGAACTTGGAAATCCAAGTCTGAGGGTGGAGTTAGAAACAGCTTCGGGGCTGCAAGGCATAGGCTGCTGGACGTGTATGTCCCTCTCAGCACCTGTACAGGGTTCTCAGTAGGAAGGGGGAAAGTGGGAGAAATGCCCTGTAATTTTAATTGGGATGTAACTCATGCACCATAAAATTCACCATGTAAAAGTGCACAGTTCAGAGGATCTTAGTGTATTCCCAGGGTTATGCAACTGTCACCACCACTTGATTTCAAAATAATTTTATCCCTCCAAAAAGAAACCCCACACCCATGAGCAGTTGCTCCCCTTGCCCCCTCTTCTCAGCCCTGGGCATCCTTAGTCTGCTTTCTGTCTCCATGAGTTTACCTGTTCTGGATTTTTCATATGCGTTATTTAGGGTTCTGCATACCCGGTACCAGGGGTTGTGTCAATTTGCTCAAGCAATGAAACCACATCTGGTACTTCAAGTGGAATCACACAACATGTGGCCTTTTGTGTATGACTTCTTCCGCTTAGCATAATGTTTTTGAGGTTCATCCATACTACCCATGTGGTAGTACTTCATTCCTTTTTTAGGCAGAATGATAATCCATTGTATGAATATACTACATTTTGTATATCTATTTATTACTTGATGGGCATTTGGTTATTTCTATTTTTTGGCATTATGAATAATGCTATTGTGAACATTGATGAAGAAGTTTTTTGTAGACCTATGTTTTCATTTTTCTTTTTTTTTCTTTTTTTTTTTTTTTTTTTTTGAGACAAGGTCTCACTCTGTTGCCCAGGCTAGAATGCAGTGGCGTCAGCCTAGCTCACAACAACCTCAAATACCTGGGCTCAAGTGACCCTCCTGCCTCACCCTCCTGAGTTGCTGGGACTACAGGCATGAACCACTGTGCCCAGCTAATTTTTCTATTTCTTTCTTTTTTTTTTTATTTCAAGATGGCATCTCACTCTTGCTCAGGCTGGTCTCAAACTCCTGGGCTCAAGCAAGCCTCCTGCCTCTGCCTCCCAGAGTGCTAGGATTACAGGTGTGAGCCACCGCACCCAGCCTATTTTCATTTTTCTTAGGGATAAACCTAGGAGTGGAATTACTACTGGATCATATGGTAACTCTGTGTTTAAGCTTTTGAGAAACTGCCAGACTGTTTTCCAAAGAAGTTGTGCCATTTTGCACCCACTGCTATATATAAAGGGAAATGCCACCCCCCTTTTTTGAGATAGAGTCTTGCTCTGTCTCAAAGGTTTACAGGCATGAAGCCACCACGCCCGACCGGAAATGCCTTTTGATTGAACATATACTGTGTGTGAGGCACTGTGCCTGACCTTGTCCACACCTCAGTCGGCAGTGATTCTCACACCAACCTGTAAAATACGTAGGATTGGCCGGGCGTGGTGGCTCACGCCTGTAATCCTAGCACTCTGGGAGGCCAACGCGGGTGGATTGCTTGAGATCACAAGTTCGAAACCAGCCTGAGCAAGAGTGAGACTGTCTCTACTATAAATAGAAAGAAATTAATTGGCAAACTAATATATATAGAAAAATTAGCCGGCATGGTGGGTGCATGCCTGTAGTCCCAGCTACTCAGGAGGCTGAGGCAGCGATTGCTTGAGCAGGATGTTGAGGCTGTGTGAGCTAGGCTGGACGCCACGCACTCACTCTAGGCCTGGGCAACAGTGCAGACTCTGTCTCAAAAAAAAAATTAAAAAATACCTACGATTGCCTCCTCTTTAGCAAGGAGGGCCCTGGGGCTCAGAGAAGTGAAGTAACTCCCCCAGGATCACACAGGGGATGAACATTAAGGCCTAGATTCACGCCCAGTCTGTCCCTCACATTTTCCTGGTTGCTCACTGACTGCTCACTGACCGACTGAGGGTGCAGATGCTAAAGTCGAATCAACCTTCTCCCCAACCCTCCCGCACTGTCTTACAGACAGGAAAGTTGGACCCGCACTACCCGAAGGTCTGCGGGCACAGAGGGAACGTCTTAGACATCAAGTGGAACCCTTTCAATGACTTTGAGATTGCCTCCTGTTCTGAAGATGGCACGGTGAGTGTCGGCCGTGAGGTGCTTCCCTTTCCTGAAGAGCCGGACTAGAGCAGGGCAGGGCGGACGGGCACCTGTACCCAGCTCTGGTGCCCCGACTCTTTCACCACGGGGCGCACTGTGTGGGGAGGCGTTGAGTTAGCTTGAGGAAGGCAGGTTACTTACATTAGGTAGTTCTGGGCACTGTGGGACTCAGGGCACCACCTCTCCTCTCTGGGGGCCTCAGTTTCCCCACCCATAAAATGGGCATAATAGCTCCCACCTGTCCAATGACGAGCCAGTGAAATTCGCTTTCCAATGGGAAAACCCATCCTTTGAGGGAACCATAAAATGCTGTCAGGGGCATTTTTATTGTGGTCAGAAAACTTCGTTCCACTTAATCTCACAGACAGTGAGCTTTAAAAGAATGAGAGTGAGGGCCATATGTGAATAAGGACACTAGAACCATCCCAAAAGCTGCAGTCCCACTAAATTTTTTGAGCTTCTGTCCTGTACAGAGTCACAGACCCTGTCCCCACAATGTTTAGTGTTAATTCATTTTGTACCGACTTCTAAAACATGCTGGGTATGGCTTAAAACAAAAAACGCAGGTGACTAAAATAAGAAAAAAAGTCATAATTACCATTTCTTGTGAGCCCACTGCGTCCCCAAATGTCATCACACTTATCATTTCACTCCGTTTTCCCAGCAGCCCCACAAGAGAAGCTGAGGGCCCGGGCATGATGGCTCACACCTGTGATCCTAGCACTCTGGGAGGCTGAGGCGGGCGGATCGTTTGAGCTCAGGAGTTCAAGACCAGCCTGAGCAAGAGCGAGACCCCGTCTCTACTAAAATTAGAAAGTAATTGGCCAACTAAAAATATATAGAAAAAATTAGCTGGGCATGTGTAGTCCCAGCAACTGGCAAGGCTGAGGCAGGAGGATCGCTTGAGCCCAGGAGTTTGAGGTTGCTGTGAGCTAGGCTGACGCCACGGCACTCTAGCCTGGGCGACAGAGTGAGACTCAATAAAAAAAAAGGAGAAGCTTAGGATCAGAGAGGTGCAAAACTTTGCCCGAGGTTACTCAGTTATGGGAGGCAGAGCCAGGCTTCAATTCACACTGATTCCAGAGGCCATTCTTTTTCTACTGAGCTGTGTCATTTCCGTAAGCAGCAGCAGCCACAGATGTAAGAAGTGAGGAAATAATAGAAACATCAGCTGTGGAGGATTGCAACAGCTGAGCGACTAGCTCAGAGCTGCCTGGCAGGCAAGCAAAAAAGGGAAATAGAATGTATTGCAGAACCCTCACTGTTGGATCAACTGACCAGTTCATCAGGAAAGGAAAGCAGAGGATTGTAAGAGCACTTGTGTCAATTCCATATGCTGAGGAAATAAAGGACAGTGTCTGCCAAGGTGATTTCACCGAAGGGCCAGTCAGGCCCCGTGAGCATTGGCCCTGTCTCCAGTGAGTGTAGGGCCTCTGGCAGGATATTATGTATCTGACACTGTCCCCACTTCTGTAATACCTGCCCTTGCAGACCCGCTTGGAAAGCTCCCTTCAAGGTCTTTGTTAAAGACCGTAGTCCCTTCCCAGATGCCACGGGCAAAGGGGGAGTGGGCACAGCTGTGACTGCTGGGAGTGGCAGTGCCTTTTCTCCCAGCAGCCCGCCACACCCAAAATGAATTCATGGAGTAAATTCGTTCCTGTGCAGTGCTCAGCCCTTCCTTCCTGAGCCCAGGACCTGCAAGGCAGTCTTGATCCCGCAGCCCTGGGGCGTGGACAGTCTTCCCTGCTTCCGTGCTGGGACGGTCTGACCGCCCACACATACCTGCCTGGAGTGTGTTCTCTGACCCGGGCCCAGTTCTGTGCAGTGACAGCCCTCACACACCGATCTATCCGGAGCCTGGCACTGTGCTTGTGGGGTTGGTTTCCGGGTTTTAAATCCAAGAAGACCAGGAAATAAATATTTGCTAAATTGAAAGAAAGTCATCTACCTGAAAAACCTGTATACCGCCAAGAGAAACAGTACATATGATCACTGTAGGAGCCAGAGAACCCTGCAGGACAATGAGGAACATCAAGTCAGCACCATCCTGGGCTCTGTACCCCTCATCATCCTTACCTCCATTTGTATACCTCCATGATGGGGGGCTTACTCTCTACCGTGGCAGCGCCTTCCATCCTCAAAGTACCCGGGAAGGAAGCCCCAGCCCTTCCTCTTAGGCCCCCACTGTGCAAAACAGGACTATGCCCCCGTCCCACCCAGCCTCCTGGACTTTGGTCTTTCCTCTTCCATGCCATCCAGGGTGCCCCTCCAAAGCAGGAAGCTTGGCCCTGCCCTGCCCTGCCCCGCTCTAGAGGCGGTGCTGCTCCCTAGTGCCCTGAGGATGCAACACGAACTCTTCATCCTGGCCTTTGAGGCTCCGCGCTGAGCCTTTGGGACAAGGCAGCGTAGACCGCCCTACTGTGGGGTGCTCTAGGCTGGCAGACAGGCCTGCAGGCCGCCCGCCTGCCCACCACCTTAGGCTGTCAGGAAGTCAAGGATTCTCCAAGGGCAGATTGGAAGGCCTAGGCTCATCTCTGGTCAGGGCCAGCCCCTGCTCAGGCTGGAGGACGTTGGCAAAGGCCCTGTCCCTCTAAGGACCCCCTGCTGGCCCTCCAAGGGAGTGAGAAGTGGTCAGGAAGAGAGCTCCCCTGGTCCTTCTTTGGGTCACTGCCACATCTGTGGCTCAGGGTGGAGAAGATGCCAAGGTGCCCCTGCCTGACAGTCCCCCTGGCCATGTCCCCTGCCAGGTTAAGATCTGGAGCATTCCCAAGCAGCTGCTGGCAAAGAACCTCACAGCCTGCAGGAAGGAGCTGGTGGGCCACGCGCGCAGGGTGGGCCTGGTGGAGTGGCACCCCACGGCCGCCAACATCCTCTTCAGCTGCGGCTACGACTACAAGGTGAGTCCGCGTGTTCACTTTACAAGTCACCTTAGACTGGGGAGCTGAAGACGACAGAAATTTATTCTCTCGCAGTTCTGGAAGCCAGAAATCTAAAATCAAGGTGTCGGCAGGGCCAGCTCCCTCCAAAGGCACAATCCTGCCACGCCTCTTCCAGCGCCCGGCGGCTCCGGGCGTCCTGGCTTGGAGCTGTGTCGCTCCAGTCTCTGCCGTCTTCACATGGCCTTCTCCCTCTGTGTCTGTATGTCCTCTCCTCTCCCAGCGAGGACACCTGTCATTTTATTTAGAGCTCACCTTAGTCCCTGATGACCTCATTTTAAGTAATTTCATCTGCAAAGACCCTATTTCCAAATACGGACACAGGAGGATGTGGGTTTGAGGGGACACTATTCAGCTGCCCACAGAGCAAGCAGGCTGTGGCCCTGTGGACTGGGACTCACGGTACAGGAGCCTAGATTCTAGTCCCACTCAGTCTCTGACCTTCAGTGTGACCTGGGACAATCCCTTCTGGGCCTCAGTTTCCCAATCTGTACACAAATAGGGTTGTTGGGACCATCACTGTGGCTTTTCAGCTCCTGCTAACTCTAGGGGTTTACAGAGGCACCTCAGGGCCCTCTGTGATGGGTTAAAGGGCCTTCCAGCCTTTTCTGATTAGAAGTGCTTCTTATCTGTTTCTGGAGGGTGTTTCTGCAAGGCCACTGTATGTGTTTATGCTGGCTGTCCTATACCTAACTCCAGGGGGTGCTATTGGCATTGTAGGCTCTAGAAATGGATTACCCTTGAGCTGTGCAGTGCGCAGCCTGTGCAGCTGAACATGGCAGTCCTATTTATCTGTGTGAGGTGGAAACTGCTGCTGATAATTGTTTGAAACCCCCTGGATTAGGTGGTTCCCTGGGGTCCTCCCAGCATGGATGTTTTGCTGCTCAAAGGCAGGTGGTGTTTTCCTTTCACTGCTAGATAGCCTGACTCCGGGCTTGCCCTTCCTGCCACGTGCAGCTTCAGCTGGCACATCCATCTCCCACCTGAGGCTTCTTGGCCAGGCTGCCAGCTGCGCTTCCCTCGGGGGGATACCATGTTTCACGGCAGCCTGGCCAGTGTGCGACTGTGGGGACCAGGGGGGGTGGCCGCTGTGCACAGAGCTGGCTCCCTGCCATGCAGGTGATGATCTGGAACCTGGACACAAAGGAGTCTGTCATTGTAAGCCCTGTGAAGACAATTACCTGTCACCAAGACGTGATCCTCTCCATGTCCTTCAACACCAACGGCAGCCTGCTGGCCACCACCTGTAAAGACCGCAAGATTCGGATTCTTGACCCCCGAGCAGGGACCGTCCTCCAGGTTAGCGCTGGCTTGGGGGCAGTGGAGCAAGAGGCAGTGGGGCTGGGGAGGCTTCTGAGAACAGCAAGTCACACTGGGCCAGTCAGCATCTGGGCCAGGCCCTCACAGGTGGTATCCCCACCTGTCCTCATGGCGCTGCTGGAAGGTAGCATGTGTCATCTCCATTTCTAAGATGAGAAAATTGAGGCCAAAGAGAGATGAAGTGACTTATCCACATTGAGAGCTAGGACCTGTCAGTGTTCCCCAGCTCTGTCGCTGAGAACTGAGGGTACCACCATTTATCCACTCTGTAGTCTTAGGCAAGCACTTTCTGCTCAGAACCTCTGTTTTCTTATCTGCAACAATTAGTCATTAGTCTTTCCTCGCAGAGGATTAAGTAAGACAACTCCAGTGACAGAGTCTGCCCAGCCCCATGCCTCGCCTATGATGGGTGCACAATGTTCCCCCAGCAAGGGCATGGGGCAGGGCAGAGGTTCACCTCTGTTCTCGCTCAGAAAAATAACTCAACCAAAATGGTGGCGGGGAGGGCTCCAGGAGGGCTTCCAGGAAGTGGTGTCTCTGGGAGGGTTCTGCAGGCAGAGCTGGGGGAGAAAGGGATCCCTTCCAGGTGGAGCAGCAGCGTGAGCAAGGCAGGGAGGCCAGAAACCCCAGCTGCCACCTGGGAGTTCCGCCTCCCCGACACTGCTGCACGTCCCTCCAGGAGGCCAGCTACAAGGGGCACCGGGCCAGCAAGGTGTTGTTTCTGGGGAACCTGAAGAAGCTACTGTCCACAGGCACATCCCGATGGAACAACCGGCAGATAGCCCTGTGGGACCAGGTGAGTCTCACGCGCACCTACCCCCGCCCCGCAGCTGACAGCTGGCTTCATTCATCCATGCATGCATGCATTCATCCACCCATTCACTTCTCACATGTTTAGCATAGTCCGCCAGGTGCCGGGGATCCTGGGCTGGGATGCCAGCCACCCATCTGGCCAGCCCAGACCCTGTGCATCTTGCCATGCCACAAGGGAGATGGGTCAGGGCTCTGGTGGGGCCTTGGGCTAGGGGAGGGGAGGGGGCTGGATCTGGAACCAGGACTAGAGGAAGGGAGAAGGAGAGGGCCTTCTGGGTGGAGGGGACAGTGGAGCTGAGGCTTGGGATGAGATACTGACGGGAACGGGTAGGCGGAGCTTGCTGTGGGCCGCTGAGGGCGGGGCCGGGCCATGCAGCACTGTTTGGAAGGAGCACTTGGCAGAAGTTTCAAAGACCAGACAAATCACTCCCCATCTGGATCTCCCTCTTCGTCTATTAAATTTTATTTTAACAAACATATGATGGAGGAATGAATAAGATCAGGTGCATCAAAAGTGATTATTAGGAGCAAAAAGCTAACAAAATAGGTGTGTGTGGGGGGGGGAATTTTAGTGCCTTTATAATGTCATCTCTACCAGAGAGTAGCCCACACATCAGACCTCAAGAACCAGGGACATCTTCCCGCGGCACATGTAGACAAGATCAGGCTTCCTCTCCTTCACACGCACACATGCACATGCCCGGAGCGTCCAGGCAGGAATTGTTATCTCAGAGCGCACCACTGAGGGCCCCAGGAGTGACCCCTGGGCCTTCCTGGTCTCCCCTTCCCTTGCAGGGCGACCTCTCTGAGCCTCTCACAGAGGAGGACCTGGACGGCTCCTCGGGCGTGCTGTTTCCCTTCTACGACGCAGACACCAACGTGCTCTACGTGGTGGGGAAGGTCAGCATGGTGCAGGAGGGATGTTGCCACCAGGACCCCTGAGGCAGGAGGCAGAAATATCCTGAGCCTCGTCCCACTGGTGGCCCAGACCGAGGGCGGGGGCCGTTGGGAGTGCAGGGCAGAGACAGGCAAGAGTCGCTGGCCACTGTTCCCCTGTGGGAGAGCAGCCCCCTCCCACCTCCTAGCTCCCTGGGAGCAGCTGGGCCAGGGCTTTGGCTGGACACCGGAGCCCTCTCCGCAGCCCTGGGGCCAGATGAGCAGGAACCACTGGTGTTTCTCGGGCGCTTGTTGAACTCGGGCAGAACAGGTCTATCCCGCATGTGGCCCCTCCCCACAGATGCCAGACAGCATCTCTCCCTGCTCCACCCAAGTTGTTATGACAACCAGGAATGTCCCCCAGGGGTACGGCCCACTGGATGGACTCCAAGGACACCCCAGTTCTGACCTCTGTATGCAGCTCCTGATGGGGGTGGCGGTGGGCCTCTCTTTCCAGAGCTTCTGCCTTGGAGGAACAAGGGTGGGCTTTGGGTCAGGGTTGCAGGGACTGAGCATTCAAATGAGGACCCCCTTTTCCTGCCTTGCCAAGCCCCCTGGTGTTTCCTTGTGTGAGACGGGGTCGCCAGTTCATTCTGCTGTGGCAGCCAGGCTCTGCTACATGGCAGTGGGGCCTTCTGGGTCGCTCTCATTCCAAATCTCTGAATCTCCCCCTCCTCCTCCTCCTCAGGGAGATGGCAACATCCGCTACTACGAGGTGAGCGCCGACAAGCCTTACCTGAGCTACCTGACTGAGTACCGCTCCTATAACCCACAGAAGGGGATCGGTGAGTGAGGGACACCTGGGAGACTTGGGGTCAGGGCTTCAGTGCTGGGGAGACAGGGATGAGTCAGCAGGAGGGGAGATGGCATGGCAACACCCTGACTTGATGGGGGCTACCTGAGGAATGCGGCCACACAAAGGAGGAAGTCAGGGAGGGCTTCCCAGAGGAGGCAACAGGTTTTGAGAAGCTGAAAGAGCAAGCAGAGCACAGCACAGGGAGAGGAGGAAGTGCTCTAGGTCAAGGTTACCATAGCAGGGAGGCAGAAGGGGTTGACCTCCAGGAAACAATAACACCTCCTTTTGGGGATTAAAAACTCAACTGTGTGTTATATATGGGAAACCCACTTTAAACATAAAGACACAGCTAGATTAAAAGTAAAGGGCTGAGAAAAGATAAACCCTGCTAACTACTCAGAAGAGAGTTGGTGTGGCTGTATTAGGAACATTTGGGTCACAGGAGCTGTAGGGGTGGAGACAAGGAGCCTAAGCAGAGCAAACTGCCTATAAAAGTCCACTGAGGCTGGGTGTGGTGGCTCACGCCTGTAATCCTAGCACTCTGGGAGGCTGAGGCAGGCTGATAGCTCGAGTTCGAAATCAGCCTGAGCAAGAGGGAGACCCCGTCTCTACTAAAAATAGAAAGAAATTAATTGGCCAACTCATATATATAGAAAAAACTAGCCAGGCATGGTGGCGCATGCCTGTAGTCCCAGCTACTCGGGAGGCTGAGGCAGAAGGATTGCTTGAGCCCAGGAGTTTGAGGTTGCTGTGAGCTAGGCTGACCCCACGGCACTCACTCTAGCCTGGGCAACAAAGCGAGACTCTGTCTCAAAAAAAAAAAAAAAAGTCCACTGAAATCATTTCAACTCGAAGATGGAGACAGAGTCCGATTATTTCAGCTCCGTTTCCCTAGACGGGACTCACCCTGGTGCAGGTGTCTGTTCCTAAGCTGTTTGTCGAGGGAAGGACGGCGGGAGGGGCAGTCTCTGTTCACAGCCAGGTGTGCAGCCTGGCCTTGGCCCTCACATGGGTTCCTGGCCCCAGCCTAGCCAGAACCTCTTGGCCTCCTTGGCTGTCTGCCTGCAGGTGTGATGCCAAAGAGAGGCCTTGACGTGTCCTCCTGCGAGATCTTCCGCTTCTACAAGCTGATCACAACCAAAAGCCTCATCGAGCCCGTATCCATGATCGTGCCCCGGAGGGTAAGGGGGGTAGGGGCCATCAGGGAGGGAGGCAGGAACCGTCCTGGAGTAGACACTCCCAGGGGTGCCAGAGCCTGGAGCCCATGTGCCCGGGCAGCCACAGCGAGGCCTTTCTCATGGTCAGAGTGCCATTCCCTTGCTTCAGGAGTCCTGTGTCTCGCTCCACCTCTGCTCCTGAGCTGCGGCATGACCTTGGGCAAGTCCCTTTGCTCTCTGAGCTTTGGTCTCCCCAGTTCAGCAGGGGTTGGGGAGAGTCTAGACCCCTGGCTCTCAGGGCCCTCCCCATCTGGGCAGCCTGCCCTGCCACCCACTCACCTCTGGACTTCTCCTGCAGTCGGAATCCTACCAAGAGGACATCTACCCGCCCACCGCAGGGGCCCAGCCCTCCCTGACCGCCAAGGAGTGGCTCAGTGGGATGAACAAAGGTGAGGAAGGGGGAGAAAGGGCCTTGGGCACATGTGGATGGCAGGAACCTGGGGTGCTCCATGGCTCCAGGCAGCTGAGAGAGGTTTGGCCTGTATTTTTATTCTCAGCAGCCGGGCCCTTGACAGTCCCCAGTGGCGAGAGTAGTCACATATGGGTCCAGGAAGGTAGGGGGCTTGAACCGAGTGGCTCAGAAAACTCCCTCCATCTCAACAGACTTTGCCCCATGGAAAACTTCTTTACACTGCGGGGCTGAGCAGGGCGCCTGGAGTGTCTCAGCCGGTCCCCTGCCCATCCCCAACCCAAGAGACCCTCTAGGCAGCAACCAAGACCCAGGCCCTCTGTCCACAGCGACCCCCTCCCCAGTGGTTCAGGCCACAAGAGGGCAGCCCAGCGGAAGCAGGGTGATGTGTGCTCCCAGTCCCACCCCAGCTGCTCCCTTCCCTCTCCAGAGACCCCAGCCCAGAGGCTCAGGGGCCTCATTGGTGGCCTGGAAGAGCCTCTGCCTGTGGGGCAGAAGACCAGTGTCAGGTCCCAGTTCTGAATAACCCTTAGATAGGTCTACGCCTCCCTGGGCCTCAGTTTCCTCATCGGCATCCACAATGCCAGCCTTCCCTGCTTCCCTGGGGTGCTGGGAGAACTAACGGACTCGGTAGATGGACAGTGCAGTGTGGCCGGAACTGTCCTTACAAAGGAAGGACAAGGCTTCACTTGCGGGCAGCTCCCATGCGTGCACCATGCTGTTCCTACAAACTGAGCTCCACCTAGATGGTTGCACACGTGGGTGTTTGCATTCAATTGCCCTGGTCTGTGTTTGTGCCTGTCTGCGTGTGGCTGCATCTCCTACACCTGCTGTGTGTGTCGCTTGGCTCTGCATGGCTCTCCGTGCAGCATGGCATGCCTGCCTGTGTTAGTGCTGCCCATGCCCACCTGCTCATGGCCACCCAGTCCTCATATAGCTCTTTGCTTCCCTCCCAGAGCCAGTCCTGGTGTCCCTTAGGCCTGGCTCTGAGCTGCTGAGTCACCGGCCACTGCCTCCAGAGAGACCCGTCTTCAACTCTGTGGCCCCAGCCCCGCCCCAGCCCTTGAACCAGACAGAAAAGCAGGCTGCAGAAGATGGCTGGAGGCCTCCCTCCCTGCTGGAGGAGAAGGCACCAAGGTGGGCAGCAGAACGCAGACTGGAGGAGAAGAAATCCCGGCTCACAAATGGCTTTGACATTTTCGAATGCCCCCCACCAAAGACAGAGAACGAGGTGTGAACGAGGGTGGGGTGGGCCTTCCCAGGGGACAGCTGGGTGGGGTGGGGATGGGATGAGGTGTGGGTGCGTGGATCAGGGCTGAGAAGGAGGGAGGGAGAAAACGAGGGTGGGAATAACTAGGTGTGGCCTGGCCTAATGGCTTAACCCTGCTTTGTTCATTCATTCAACAAAGAGAGCCTGGGCTATATCAAGATCCCATCTCTACCAAAAAAAAAAAAAAAAAATTAGCTGAGTGTGACAAAAAAAAGTTAGCTGGGCATGGTGGCTCTCGCCTGTAGTCCCAGCTACTTCGGAGGCTGAGGCAAGAGGATTGGTTGAGCCCAGGAGTTTGAGGTTGCTGTGAGCTAGGATGCCACTGCACTCCAGCCCGGGTGACAGAGCGAGATCCTGCCCCATCATGTCCCAGGACACCCCGGTGATTTTGCCCTCTGACCTCTGCTTTCCCAGCTGCTGCAGATGTTCTACCGGCAACAGGAGGAGATCCGAAGGCTGCGGGAGCTGGTGACCCAGAGAGAGGTCCAGGCCAAACAGTTGGAACTGGAGATCAAAAACTTGCGGATGCGCTCCGAGGTGCTCTGAGCAGAGACCTCTGCCCTCCTCGCCCTCAGGGACACCACTTGGCTCCGTGGGGAGGTCCAGAACCAAACCACAAGTCCCCCAAGAACAACCACTATTTCTACATTTTTTTAAACCAGAAAACAAGACTCTCAGTCATTGAAAGAGATTCCAGTGGGACGTGGTGCCGTTTTTCTATTTGCCTTCTTGCAACAACAGTTTCTGAACTGACTTTGTTTTTAGATGATAACTTGCCTTCTGTTTAATTCTGTGTTAAGGGTCCACGAGGAGCTAGAACTTCTCAAGGGGAAGAACACTGTAGACAGTTAGAGCTGGAAGGATCTAGGAGGTCAACGTGCCTGTGGTTTTCAAACTGTGGCCCATAGATTAGGGGGAGGACTGAACAGAAAGGCTGTGTCTCCCCGCCCCCCACCCCGTTCCGGCCAGACAGCTCCCCTTCTATCTGTTTTATAGGTTGGGCTGCTGTGGAATATTACATAATTCTGCTACTAAAAAAATTTTAGAAGTTTAAAAGCCAGTGACCTGGCCCAACTCCCTCATTTTACAGGTGGGGAAACTGAGGCCCAGAAAGAGGCAAGTAAGATTTGTTTCATGGCCAGGCTGGGCTGAGGTGCTGGTCTCTTGGTCTGCCTGTCTGCTGTTTGGGATGAAGCAGCTCTCAGCCCACAGAGCAGGAATCTGTTGGTCTGGCCTTGCCATGCCCCACCTTGCTCATGGAGCTCTTACAATTCCTTTCCTCTCTGGTCTTAATTTCTCCATCTGAACAAGGGGGATCCCCAAAAAAGCTGCTCTCTACAGGATCTGCTACCCGAGACCTTGACCTGAGGAAAACGATATGTGGGGTGGGTGATAAACTGGTCTTGCTGCAGAAACTCACAAATACTGGCAAAGGGCTAGACTGGGGATTCAGCCAAATTCTAGAACACAGTCAGGAAGTCAAGAGCATCCTCTCTAACCAGAAGCAGCCAGATATGGGTAGACACTGCCCCTTATATGGGCATGCAGACTTTGGAACTATGTCAATTGTCAGTAGCTGCTGACTGCCACTACCAAAGCTGACTGCCACTACCGAAGGTACACAGCCCGTCTCCTGCAGGACTATGTAGGTGGATTTCAGCCTGGGTTAACAGATGAGCCCCCCAGGAGGTAGGGGGGCCCCAGTACTGGAGGCGTGCCAGCAAAGCCTGTGGCCACCTGCCTGGGAGGGCTTCTGGAAAGGGATGACTACACTAGGTAAGAAAGTATAACCAGGTGGTCCTGAAGTTCCATTCTGGCCCAGAAGTTTTTCTTCATCCCTCCCTAATGAATCTGCATTCTGAGCCCTGCTCTGAAGTTCAATGGTCAGTACACCAGCCCAACAAGAGACTGGGAATGATTAGAAGCGACATTGTCCCTCCTTACCAAGGAGGGACAAATGATACATTTTCTTCATTGCATGGGGTGATTCTGGAGCTGAGATGGGGCCTGCAAGAGGTCACTTAGCCTGGTGGGTTTCAACCCAAGCTGTATAGTAGAATCGCCTTTGGAACATTCAGAAATACAGATGCCCAGGCCCCATCCTGGACCAGCTGAAGCTGAATTTAACGTCCTGGCTGGTAGCTCCTAAAAAGTCCAGAAGAGTCCTAAGCCCCTCCCAAAGCTCTCTGTGACCCCCAGCCATTTACTCTGTCACTGGGACTCACTCCCATCTGAATTCCAGCCAAGCTTGCCTTAGTGTGCTCAGGAGCAAAAGGCCAAACCCCAGACACTGTCAGGGAAGCAGAGCTCCACTGGATGGGGTTAGGTCTCCCACCTCATTTGTGGCCAGCACTTCACAGTTTACAAAGCCCTCCCACCTCCACTCACTGACACATGCTACTCTAACCCAGGTCAGGCAGGCATTCTAATCCCCATGTTCGGAAGGGAAGACTGGCTTCAGAGAAGTGCAGAAACATGAAGTCCAAGGTCACTGGCTGCCAAGCGGTGGAGGCGGGGCTGCATGGAGAGAGTTTCCCGGCATGCCTCTGAACAGCCCAGCCCTCTGCAGGCTCTTCCTACCCCCAAAGGACCCAGACCTCACGCTTAGAAACAGGACACAGGTATCTTCGAACAAACTTGTTTTCTTTTTATTTTTACATCTAGAATAAATTATTTAAATTATTTCACAGCAAGGGAGAGGGAGAGGTAATTTTTATCAGATATTTTTTTAAGCCATCCTTTTTTTAAAATTACATTTTTGTTTATGTTCTTCGGCTGATGAAGCAGACTTGCCCAGCGTGGGCAGGGCCGCCAATCAGCAGAGTGTGCACTCCTCTCCTTACCCCGTACCCTGGGAACCCCCTTTCTGTTGACTCAGGAACTTTCTGAGAATGAGGATAGCACTTGGAGATGAGCTCTGGCGGATGCCTGCCTTAGCTCTACAATAATTGTGCTTCCTGGAACAAAACTTGAGATTGTATCATAGAAGGTAACAGGAAGTTAGAAATCAATCTATGCTTTTAATATGAAGCCGTGCCTGAAATAGTTTGAATGATCATTTTAATGTTGTTTCTGAAATTCCTCATAGCTTTTTAAAAAAAATTTTAAAAAAGAAAGAAAAGTGAAAATAAATAGCTGTGGAATCGTGCAATGGAAGGAATTGAGCGAAATAATAAACATCTGGCTAGACATTTTACTACATGGAGCTTTCCTTTTCTTGATTTGTTCCACAAATACCAAGGAAGCACCTACTGTATGGGCCAGACACCAGGGTGGGAAACAGGTAGAACAGACATAGTCTTTACCCTCTGCAGAGTTCTCAGTCATGGTTGGGGGAATGGGAAGGGCCAAGATAGGGGAACTGTGGGCTACTTTGGGAGGAGAAGCAGGGATGGCTTCCTGACGGAGGTTATGGGTGGAAACCTGAAGTATAAGTAGGAGTAAGCAGGGCAAAGACATTTGGGGAGTAGAAGAATGTTCCAAGCAAGTTAAACTGTATGTTCCCCAGTCTTGAACAAGCAAAAGGTAGAGCATAGACAGGGCCAGGACCAAAGATCTTAATTATAAGTGGGAGCTGAGACTTTTAGCCTGGTGGCAACTGGAGTCTGGGGTGGGGGATGTGAAAGTTGTCAGTACCAAAGTAGAGTCAGTTATGTCAAAACCAAACTAAATGGAGCCAGGAAGCCACAAAGGGCAGGGTGGGGGTGGGGTGTCACCCACAATTTCCCTTTTAATAGGAACTATTGTAAGAGGTTCCACCAAACCATAGCCCTGTACAAAGGCCGTCATCTGCCTCGAAACTGCCTTATTATTCTTGTAACCAAAGACTATCATTTTAAAACAACTCATTTTGCCTTTAAAAACCTATGCTTTGGGCCCAGTTGTTGGCTTATGCCTGTAATCCTAGCACCCTGGGAGGCTGAGAAAGGAGGATCAGGAGGATTGCTTGAGGCCAGCAGTTCAAGACCAGCTTGAGCAAGAGTAAGACTATCTCTACAAAAAATAGAAAGACTAGCCAGGCATGGTGATGTATGCCTCTAGTCCCAGTTACTCAGGAGGCTGAGGCAAGAGGATGACTTGAGCCCAGGAGTTCGAGGTTGCAGTGAGCTACAATGAGGCCACTGCACTCTTGCCTGGGCAACAGGGAGATTCTGTCTGAAACAAACAAACAGGCCTGGTGCAGTGGCTCACACCTGTAATCCTAGCACTCTGGGAGGCCAAGGCAGGAGGATTGCTTGAGGTCAGTAGTTCAAGACCAGCCTGAGCAAGAATCAGACCCCCTCTCTACTACAAGTAGAAAAATTAGCCAGTGGTAGTCCCAAACTGGTCCCAAAACAAACAAAAAACCTCTGCTTTGGCCAAGTGTGGTGGCTCACCTGTAATCCCAGCTCTTTGGCAGGTCTAGGCAGGAGAATCCCTTGAGGCTAGGAGTTCAGGACCAGCCTGGGCAAAACAGTGAGAACCCCTAACCCCTCTAGAATTGAGAATCTCCCTTATTGTTTTAGGTTGACAGCGCTTTTGCTTGTTTTTGAGATAGGGTCTTGTTCCACCCAGGCTGGAGTGCAGTGGCAGGATCATAGCTCACTGCAGCCTCAAACTCCTGGGCTCAAGCAATCCTCCTGCCTCAGCTTCCCAAGTAACTGGGACTACAGGCTCGCATCACCACGCCGTGCTAATTTTTTTATTTTTTTGTAAAGACGGGGTCTCCCAAAGAGCCAGGATTACGGGATTACGGGCGGGCGGGAGCCGATGTGCCCAGGCCCCACACACCAAACAGTGGGACTGGTTATCTTTCCTGGGGAAAGGGCAGGGGAGGATCAAGGGAAAGCAAGAAGGCGCTAATGCGCACCCTCCGGGAAGGCCGCAGCCAACCTAGGTCCCGTGCACAGGCTGCAGTTTTCTGAGCGTTCCTGAAGTGGCGTCGCTAAGGGGGGAGCCCACCTTCTCCCGGTCAGCCCGGCAGGAGCCGGTCGGCTCGCTGGTCGGAGGACGCTCCGGGCCTGACCCCACCCCGCCGTCTGCCAGCTGCTCCCCACCCCCGGAGCCGCCCCGCCCAGCCCTTGGCGGAGGTTTCGATTCCCGGCGGAGCCCCGCCCCGCGCCGGGGGGGCCGAGGCCGTGGGGTTGCATGGCGGGCGCAGGGCAGCGGAGCGGGGTGCCTGGGGGGCCGGGCCCCGGCGAGCCCGAGCAGGTGAGCGGCTGGCGCTGCCCGGAGCATCGCGACCGCGTGGTCGAGCTCTTCTGTCGCCGCTGCCGCCTCTGCGTGTGCGCGCTTTGCCCGGTGCTGGGTGCGCACCGCGGCCACCCGGTCTGCCTGGCGCTGGAGGAGGCTATGCACGTGCAGGTGGGGACCGTGGCGACGGGGAGCGGTGTGGGGGAGCGAGCCCGGGGCAACGGCCGAGCAGGGGGGCGTGCGCGGCATCCCACTGCAGCCCCTTGAGAACCTGGAAACCAGACGGTGCCCCAGAGCGCGTCTGAGTGTCAGCTGAGAGTTCAGAGAGGGAGACTGAGGCCCGGGAAGGGCCCGGGCGGAGAGCCAAGGCCATCAGGACACCCTCAGAAGAGGTGGGTTTGGGAGCGAGAACCTGGGAGCCCAGGCTGTACCCGGATGTCAGTGACCTCGTCCGCCACGGCGGGCCCACCACACTACCCTTGGCTGGATGAAAATCTGCCTTTTAGTTAACAGAGGTGAAAACCCTTCGTGTTAGAAAACGGCCACACGCACATCTGTGGTGTACTCAATCCGAGTTCACAGAAAGGGCTGTGAACTGTGAACCGAGGACTAGCTGTCACCTCTACCTCCCTCTCCCCTCCCCCTACACAGACACTCCCATTCTGGCTCTGGACAGCCTGTGCCAGCTATTACTATTATTGTTGGGGTTTTGTTGTTATGTTTTTTGAGACAAAGTGAGACTCTGTTGCCCAGGCTAGAGTGCCGTGGCATCAGCCCAGCTCACAGCAACCTCAAACTCCTGGGCTCAAGCAATCCTCCTGCCTCAGCCTCCCGAGTAGCTGGGACTACAGGCATGGGCCACCATGCCCAGCTAATTTTTTTCTATATATTTTTAGTTGGCCAATTAATTTCTTTCTATTTTTAATAGAGACAGGGTCTGGCTCTTGCTCAGGCTGATTTCTAACTCCTGAACTCAAACGATCCACCCGCCTCGGCCTCCCAGAGTGCTAGGATTACAGGCGTGAGCCACTCGCCCGGCCCAGCTATTACTATTATTACAGATGTTTTCTAGATCACAGGAAGGCTCTGGAGGCAGGGAAGGCCTAGAACCCAGGCCTCCCATAGAACTGCCCCCAAAAGGGCCATTCTCACCCTGGAGCCCTCACCCATGCCTAATCCGAAGGGTGGCCAGGGGCTCTGGGCTCCTGTTCCACCCCTGCAGCTGGCTTGTCCTGTGGCTCTGCGGTGAAGGCTGGGCAGGCAGGCCTTCCTGTCTCTGACTCTCGTTGATTCTACCACTTCCACCTCCAAGAAGCCATTTGTGATGTACTGACCTTTTCCCCTGCACAACATGACATCACCACCACATTGTGACAACCTGGGAACTCCAAGGTGAAAATTGGCCCAGAGGGGGCCTGCCTGTTCAAGTCCTGGGTTCAAGGCCTGCCTCTGCCTCCACAGCCTTCCTTTGTTTATGTATAAAATGGCTGTAATAATAATAACAGCTTCTCAAAAAACTGTTATTCAGAGTTACCTAGGCTACTCCCCAGAGATCTGGCTCAAGGTCTCACCCAGTTGTCCATTTTGTTGACCTATTGTCAACAGTAAATAACAAGATTCAGCAAATATGATTAACTCACGGTTTTGGCTCCAAAGCTTGAGGATGGCTACCCAGGAGCATAGATTCTAGTTGTCCTGAATATACACTCCAATTAACAGTTCCCAGTGGGATTTTAAAGAAAAAAAAAGAGGCAGTTCCTAAGTTGTTTACCAATAATTTGCATTAAAATAACATTAGCTATTGGTTGGCTATACTTTGCTCTTTGTATGGCAGATTCCAGGACTCAAAGATGAGTGAGGCAGTGAGTGAGGAACAAAAGGACTTTAAATAATTGCCCCCCACCACACATAAGTGTGGAGGGGGATTGTTGGGAAAGAGGTGAGACTGAAGTCCCATGCTCAGGTCTCTCTGGACCTGATAAAGTTTGTATACATAGCTCCCACTGCTCTGAGCTATTTTTCTTTTGTCATTTCCCTCCTTTTTATCAAGGTATTTTTTTTTTTTTTGAGACAGAGTCTCGCTTTGTTGCCCAGCCTAGAGTGAGTGCCATGATGTCAGCCTAGCTCATAGCAACCTCACACTCCTGGACTCAAGGGATCCTCCTGCCTCAGCCTCCTGAGTAGCTGGGACTACAGGCATGCACCCCCATGCCCGGCTAATTTTCTTTTTTTGTATATATTTTTAGTTGACCAATTAATTTCTTTCCATTTATAGTAGAGACGGGGTCTCGCTCTTGCTCAGGCTGGTTTTGAACTCCTGAACTCAAGCAATCCGCCTGCCTCGGCCTCCCAGAGTGCTAGGATTACAGGTGTGAGCCACCACGCCCGGCCAGTATTTTTTTTTTTTTGAGACAGAGTCTCACTTTGTTGCCCAGGCTAGAGTGAGTGCCATGGCGTCAGCCTAGCTCACAGCAACCTCAAACTCCTGGGCTCAAGCAGTCCTACTGCCTCAGCCTCCCGAGTAGCTGGGACTACAGGCATGCACCACCATGCCCGGCTGATTTTTTCTATATATATGTTAGTTGGCCAATTAATTTCTTTCTATTTATAGTAGAGATGGTTCTCACTCTTGCTCAGGCTGGTTTCGATCTCATGACCTCCAGCAATCCACCCACCTCAGCCTCCCAGAGTGCTAGGATTACAGGCGTGAGCCACCGTGCCTGGCCTCATCAAGGTGTTTTGAAGAAAGCATTGTGGAGGAACTCATGGTTTGGGCTCCTTTTATGTTCTGGAGCCTAGTCCTGTCACTAGGAAAGCTCATTGCCACCTGGTCCTGTTCCACCTGGTGAGGAATTTTAAGAGTGCCAAAAGCTGAATCGGAATGGCATCACAAGGTGGGGGACAAAAAAGAGACCCCAGTCAAATCACTGAGTTATACAGCTGCTGTCACTTTTTGACTTATCTTTGGTCTCTGGAATGACACCAGTTTAGCTTCCTCAGAATAAGTAAAACAACGAGAGATACATAATAGAAATACCATGCACCTGAGGATTATAATCAAAAAGAGAATTTGTACGCCAGACCAAAAAAACCCCACCTAGTTCATTGGAGAGTCAACTAAAAACATAAAATCAAAACCCAGGAAACTGGCTTGTAAAACTTGTTCTACAACTTTCCTTGTTGTACCCTAAATAAATAATTTAGCCTGCTAAATAAATAATTCAGTATGTAGTCCAAATTGTAAGAAAATAATAGAAACTCAAAAGCAATGGTCAGGTCTGGGATCTGATAACAGGTGTGCTGTCATTTTCTTCTGAAACATAATTTTTCTTTTTCCAGTTCCCCATTTCTACCAAAGATAAATCTTAGTAGGACACGTTTACTTGCAAAATAAGTTTTAGTATTATACTTGGCCTTATTATTTGCGTAAAGTGGAACAAGAATAGTGACTGGCCATATAGGCATTTCTCAAGTTAGCTTTGCTAGAACTTTCATAAGAAATTTTGGATTAGACTTTCAAAAGTTTCAAAGCTAGGAAACCAAGTAAAGGATTCACCATCAGACTATGCTTGCAATACCTGTATGCATTGGGTGAATTCGTCTCTTCTTGAGGTCCCAAAATGTCTTGAGGTTCCTTGGCCTGTCAGAAAGTGACATTCTTTACTTACCACAGGTCAGCAACCTTGAAAAGGAACCACATAGACCAGGTACCAGGCCGGTTTTCCAAGGGTCTTTTCATTGGCTCTATAAAGTCAATCTCAATTCCTCAAAGCAGCCTGGTCATATCTGAAAATATGCCATTGTAGTCAAAGCCGTGGTAAAATTACCAGTGTCTCCAATGTGTCCTGTTACAAAAGTAAACATTCTTAGGCCAGGGGAGGTGGCTCACATCTGTAATCCTAGCACTCTGGGAGGCCGAGGCAGGAGGATTGCTTGAGATAAGGAGTTTGAGACCAGCCTGAGCAAGAGCTTGACCCCATCTCTACTAAAAATGGAAAAATAGAAAAATTAGGCAGGCATCATGGCACAAGCCTGTAGTCCCAGCTACTTGGGAGGCTGAGGCAGAAGGATCACTTGAGTCCAGAAGTTCTGGGCTGTAGTGGGCTATGCTGATCAATTGGGTGTTCACACTAAGTTCAACATCAGTTTTGTGACCTCCCAGGAGCGGGTTGCCTAAGGAGGGGTGAACCGGCCCAGGTAGGAAAAGGAGACTCAGTCCCCAGTCAGAGACCTAATAAAGACGCCATGAGGCAAACTGTCTCCCACCCTTTTTTTGCAATTTACTGAAAAGGTAAACAAGTATTTTACGACCAATTATTAACACTACACAAAATTCTTGTTCAAAGGAATAAACCACATTTTACTTTTATATTAGTGTATTATCAATCATCCAATTTCAGTCAGCTTTGACCACACAAGATAAGATTTCCGTAAACCTTTTATAACCTTATAATTTTCTGTTAAATAGCAGAGCAACGCTTTGAGAAAACCCTGCAGTTCTGACACAGGGGCCTAGACTCTGGCCCTGCATCCGTGTGCTTTTCATATTAACACTCAATTTCTAGAAACACGTATAAATAATTTCCTTCTAATTTTAGTCAGCTTGATCACACACAAAATGCCTTTCACAAGATTAATCTTTCACGCACCTCCTACAACTTGCTTAAGCCTTCAGTTTTGGCCTCGGCTTTTATTTTGGCATTGTCTCTTAAAACAAAAATGTCCTTTCCTTTCTTCCACATCATCTTGACCACACAAAATCCCCTCTCATGCAAAAGAAAGATCACTCTCAACTCTCTTTACGAAAAACACATCTTACTCTCTTTCTACACTCTGTATATAGAATTGTTTCTCTTATATCTGGTAGCTTTAATCACACAGTACAATTTTAACTCATGGCTAACCCTACTTTCTGATAAAAAACCTAGGAAGTCAGTAACTTTGAACTATTTTATACCAGTATTTGTAGAGGAATAGCATTTCATAATTTTTAGAAAGATGTTTCCTCAATTTTTTTGTTTATAGACAGATTTAAATATATTTAGCTTTCCTATGCCATATAAATGACTCAGACATTTTAGGATTACCTATTACTTAATTTAAAATAACATGACTTTAACAATAAGTTACTGAAAAAGATTTTTGAAAGATTTTGAAGTTCATTCATAAACTCAGCCCTCCTGCTCCTGCAGGTGCAGAGGTGGACACCCTTACACACAGATTGCAGTAATATACATTTCAAAATAGCCAGCTGACTTCCAGAAAGGTGTATTTTGTAGACGAGTATAGTCAGATAAGTTGTCTTTTCAATGTGGCTTATTTCCAGATTAGATTACTGACTTCAAGGTAAAGCCCTTTAATTAATAGGGAAAAGAAAGCACTCTCTATGCCTGAACTCAGCCTGGATAGCTCTGAAAAGGAAGCAAGCCTACTTTACCTGAGGGCCTATCTTTTATAGATACTTTATATCCAGCTTTTTTCTCTTTTAAACCAAATACCTTTTCAAGCCAGTCACCAATAGCAAAAAGCCTTAAACCAAGGTTATGACTTAACCAAAGACGAACTAGGCATCTCCAAAGAGGTGCAAAGCACTCCTCACGAGATCCAGAACCATCTCAAAGACGGCTCAAAGAAAGTCTCACTAGCTGCAAATGGAGAACCATCCATATTTCTGCACAGGCATAATTTCTAGGACCCCAGCTTCTCAGCTGTGTATCTATGCGTGAAGGCTCAAAAGCCCCAAAGACCCACAGACAGAAAAAAAAAGACAGGAAATCAGAAGCTCTTCATGGGATGGAAAAGGATCAATAGCAAATGGGTACCCCAAAAGGTCAAGAGCCACGAGCCATACAAGTAACTTTTTAAATTTTTTTTTTTTAAGAGACAGGATCTCACTCTGTTGTCCAGGTTGGAGTACAGTGGCACAATCATAGCTCACTGCAGCCTCACACTCCTGGGGAAATCAGCCTCGCAGGTATCTGGGATTACAGGCATGTGCCACCATACCTGGCTAATTTTCCTTATTTTTTGTAGAGACTGGATCTTGCTTTATTGCCCAGGCTGGTCTTGAACTCCTGGCCTCAAGTGATCCTTCCACATCAGCCTTCCAAAGTGCTGGGACTACAGGCATGAGCCACCAAGCCTGGCCCATACAAGTAATTTAAAGCAAACAGGTCTTGTTCGCTGACCAAGAATCAAACCTGAGCAGCAGCCATGAAGCACTGAACCTTACGCACTAGACCACAGGGTAGGATGCTTTTTATAGATCCTTTTGAGTATCCAAAGCAGGCAGTTTGAGCATTTAAAAGGATTTACGACCTCTTCTTTCTCCCTTAAAAACCCAGCCGGGCGGTGGCTCATGCCTGTAATGCTAGCACTCTGAGAGGCTGAGGCAGGAGGATTGCTTGAGCCCAGGAGTTCAAGACCAGCCTGAGCAAGAGTGAGACCCCATCTTTACTATAAATAGAAATAAATTAACCAAAAAACTAAAAGAAAAATAGGAAAAAAAGCCAGGCATGGTGGCACATGCCTGTAGTCCCAGCTACCCGGGAGGCTGAGGCAGGAGTCCTGAGTTTTGAGCCCAGGAGTTTGAGGTTGCTGTGAGTGAGGCTGACACCATGGCACTCTAGTCCAGGCAAGAGAGTGAGTCTCTGTCTCAAAAAAAGAGAAACCCACTGGTAACTGCTGCTAATTGGAGTGTATATTCAGGGCAACTTGAATCTATGCTCCTGGGTAGCCATCCTCAAGCTTTGGGCTCAAATAAACTCTATACTTAATCGTATTTTCTGAATCTTATTAGTTAACACTATGCATACCCATTTTTGCATCCACACAGCTATTTACTTACCTAAGCTGTTCACCCTTCATCCATCCATCGATTCATTCACCAAACATCTGTTCGAGCACATATCTTATGCCATGAGTGAAGGAATAGATTGAATCCTTCGCTGACCTGGAGGAGTTCCCTGGCTGGTTGGAGGGAGAACACAGTGACAACACAGCTTGATAAGTACTGTAATTGAGGGGTCCAAGGCAGTGGTCAGTGGGAGCCAGAGAGAGGACAGTGAGAGCTGGGAACAGGAAGCCCAGGAAGACTTCCTGGGGGAGGTGCCATTGAACTGGCTTTGAAAGATGCGTATGGCATCACCAGGTAGTGAGACAGGAGAAGCACCTGTGGCTGGTGGGCACAGGTATCGTGACGTCGGGGTGATCCTTGAGTGGGGTACAGAGGCTGGATTTGGATGCTTGGAAATCACAAGAGCGCAAGGATGTGCTCCTGGAAGTTGACGCCATGGCTTACACTTGGGTTAAGACTATCCCCGCCCCCTTGCCTAGAGTAAAGCTGTGCACAGTAGCAAATGCTTGCTGGATGTTAAAGTCACAATAATAGCTACAGGTATTGAGCACTTATTGTCTACCAGGCATTATTCTGTGTGCATCTTCTCATTTAGTCCTGCAGCCACCCTGTGGGGTCATCCCCGTGTTACAGCGGAGGACACTGAGGTTGAGAGAGGTGGGGGGACAAAGCTGGGACTCAGACCTAGGACTCCTTTAACTCTGGGGCTTGTGCTCGTAACACGTTTCTGGGGGCTTCCGGCTCTGCTCGAAGCTGGCAGCTCCTGTTAGTTCTGTTCAGTTCAGCAAATACGCCCAGGTACCCCCACTCCCCCATCCCTGTGGGGAGCTAGGGATGGAGCAGGCCTGCCCTCAGGAAGCTCCCAGTCAGCACGGCAGGGTCCAGTGGCTGCCTGTAAGGCCAGCGGTGAGAAAGATGAAGTTGGAGATAAGGTCACACCTGTGGGGGAGGGGGACACAGAGCACACCTTTGGAAAAACAATAATTTCAAAAAGCAGAGATATGGAAGGTGGAGAGAGCAGGCAGCAGGGAGCATGAACTCCATGGATCTCTCACCCAGTCCAGGGCCAGGGGGCCACGGACTCCCTGGGATGCACATTTCACGAGGGCAGCTCCTGGAACAGGACCCAGCATGTAATAGGTGCTCAGTTTATGGTCACCCAATAAGCAGATGCTCTTCCCTGGACCCCAAGCTGCTTGCCTTCAGGTCCTATTTGAGGGGCTGGACGAGCAGGTCACAGGCAAGACTTGTCCTAGAAAAAAAATGTATGTGGGCACATCAAGATCCACCGAATACCTGGTGTGGACCTCTGAGGAGCAGAGGGGCCCTAGTCCCAGCTCATACTCCAGCTCGCCCCACAACCACGACTTTGGGCAAGTCCCCTCCACTTCCCAGTCTCAGATACCTCAGCTGAAAAAGAATAAAGGGTGAGAGGAAGTGACCCATGTTGGGGAGACTGTTATCTCGAAAATGACAGTATTATGACTTTTTTCCTAACTTCCTCCTGAACAGAAACTCAGCCAAGAATGTTTAAAGCAGTTGGCAACCAAGAAGCAGCAGGAAGTTGGCAATATAACCCAGATAGAGGACGCCGAAGAGAAGCTCAAGGCAAGTAGACATTTCTTCCTTATTCTGATGGAGGTGCCCACAGTTCCTCTCAGACACAGGGTCCCCCCAGTATGGAGTCAAGGAAAAGCAAAAACCAACCTCACAGGGGCAGACCACATTTGGTGGAGGCGGGGGCTTCTATGATTTAGGGGGCCTCTTTGAGAGCAAGAACATAAAATTACAGACAAAATTAGGTGCAAGACCATGAAGGGGCCCTGCAAGTGAGGGGCCTCGAGGCTCTGGTTTCCTTTGCTGTGTGGCAAATCTCTGGTCCCTCTGCATCAGCTGCCATTCTCTGGGAGGAACTCTCCAAGTGCAAATTGCCTTAAACAGAGCAAAATACAGCCTAAGGAATATGCAAAGATCTCTTTAGGTTTCACTGCCATGTTGAAACTAAATAGGGTATAAATTGTTCCATAAATATGTGCTTTCTTCAAGTTACTCCCTTCCTAATGATTTTTATTTAAATAGATTCTGTTCTGTCTGAATTTGCAGGGTTGTAAAAAAAAAAAAGAAAAAGAAAAAGGTAATTAAAAAATAATAAAATAGATAAATAGACTCCGTGTAGTGTTTTGAATGGGAAGTTGAGCCTGATGATGTTGTGAGCAGCCATTTAGACAAAGTTGTTGCATTTTTAGGGGCCTTTTGTGTGAACTTGGGCCAGTCCCCTCCCTCCCAGCCTCGGCTGCTCCCGCCTTGCAGTGAGGGCTGGGGTGGGATCCCACCGTCAGAGAGGAGGAGTGGCTCTGACTGTGGGAATAGCTGGCACCCAGTCCTTCCTGCCACCAGGCCAGCCCACAGAATGGGCCCCCCCACTAGCCCAGTGCCCATTCTCCCTCAGATGTCTTCACACCCCAGTATGCTGGGGACCGCTGTGGTTGACACTGTGGCCCCAGCTTAATTATTAATAGTGTCCCTCCTATCTTCAAGAGCAGCACTCTGGACTCTGGAAGATAGATCCTATCCAGAGGATTTGGGAAGTGAAAGTTGACACATTTGCAGGGATGGGGGAAGGGGCTTGGGCTGTTCAGCCTGAGGAACAGGTTCACTGTCTCCAAGTCTCTGAGCAGATATGGTTAGGGGGCCAGAAGGAAAGAGAGTGCAGGGTCCACGGGAGGGTCTGCAGCAGGTTTCACCTTAATCTAAGGAATGGTTTTCTTTCTTTTGAGACAGACCCCTGCTCCCATCCCACAACATTTTAACTTTCTACAAATTTATAGGAAGTAGCAAAGATAGATCAGAGAAGTTTTGTGTACCTTAACCTAGTGTGCCCCGAGGGTTACATCTTACATAACTATAGTACAACATCCAAAAATTGGTAGCATATGTAGTTTTATATCAACTTACCACCCGTGTAGATTCAAAGAACAACCACTGCAAGCAAAATGCAGAATATTCCATCATTGCCAAGATCTACCTCCTGCTACACCTTGATACTCACCCCCACTGTTTTTCTCCAACAGTCCCTAACCCCTGGCAATCATTAATTTGTTCCCTATCTCTGTAATTATGGCATTGAAAGATGTCATAAAAATGGAGTCATACAGTATGCGTGACCTTCTGAGGGTTTTTTCGCTCAGCATAACGCCCTGGGGACTCATCCAAGCTGTTGCTTGTTGGGTTTATCAGCAGTTCATTCCTGTGGACTGCTGAGGGGTAGTACTCTAGCCATCCCATAGTATGGAGAATGTAACACTGGTTTCTTCCTTTTTTTTTTTTTTTTTTCTTTAAACCATTCAACTATTATAGGTCATTTGGTTGTTTCCAGTTTGGGCCTATTACAAGTGAAGCTTCTTTGGACAACTGTGTACAGGTTTCTGTGTGGACATAATTTTTCATTTCTCTGGGATAGATGCCCAGGAGTGCTGTTGCCAGGTCATGTGATACTTTCATGTTTCATTTTTTAAGAAACTGCCAACCCATCTTCCAGAGCAGCTGTGCCATTTTACTTTCCCACCAGTGATGTATGAGAGACAGTTTCTCTGCGTCCATGCCAACATTTGGTATTGTCACAACTTTTTATTTTAGCGTTTCTGATATGAGTGTAGTGATAGCTCATCGTGATCTTAGTTTGCATTTCCCCAGTGGCTAGTGATGTTGAACAGCTTTTCATGTGCTTATTTGCCATCCATAAATCCTCTTTGGTGAAATGTTTCTTCGTATCTTTTACCCATTTCCTAGCTGGATTTGTTTCTTACTGTTGAGTTTTGAGAATGGTCTGTATGTTCTAGAAATGAGTCCTTTGTCAGATATGTGGTTGGCGAACATTTCCTCCCAGTCTGTAGTGTGTCTTTCATCATCTTAACAGAAAGTTTTTGATCTTGGTTAAGTCAAGTTTATCAGTTTTTTTCCTTTTATGGATTGTTCTCTTGACATTATCATGTCCAAGAACTCTTTGCCTAGTCCTAGGTTCCAAAAATCTTCTTTTTTTTTTTTTACAAAAATTTCAAAGTTTTACATTTAAGTTCATAATTAATTTTGAGTTAATTTTTGTATAAGGTATGAGATTTAGTTCAAGACTGTTTGGAGGTTTTTCGTTTGCTTGCTTGCTTGGATATCCAGTTGCTCCAGCATCATTTGTTGAAAAGACTAGTCTTTCTCCATTGAATTGCTTTTGTCAAAAATCAGTTGGCCATACTTGTGCGGGGCTATTTCTGGGTTCTCTATTTGGTTTTGACACCTGAGAATTTCCCTTTTTTGTTCGTTTCATTGTTTATTTTATTTTGAGCTTGTCCATATAATTTTTAAATTCACTTATCAGCATTTCTCTCTGTATGAAGTAGGAAGAGGGATTTTCTGTGTCAGTTCCTTCTTCCTTATTGACTAAAACTGTATGTCACTTTATATGTGGGTTTTTGCTGTTTGTTTAAGATTCTAACACTTCCCTTTGTCATTAAAAGTTCTTTTTTTTTTTTTTTGAGACAGAGTCTCGCTTTGTTGCCTAGGCTAGAGTGAGTGCCTTGGCGTCAGCCTAGCTCACAGCAACCTCAAACTCCTGGGCTCAAGCGATCCTACTGCCTCAGCCTCCCAAGTAGCTGGGACTACAGGCATGTGCCACCATGCCCGGCTAATTTTTTCTATATATATTAGTTGGCCAATTAATTTCTTTCTATTTATAGTAGAGACAGGGTCTCGCTCTTGCTCAGGCTGGTTTCGAACTCCTGACCTTGAGCAATCCACCCGCCTCGGCCTCCTAGAGAGCTAGGATTACAGGCGTGAAAAAGTTCTTTTTTAATGTCAGTATTAGAAGCTGTATATTCATTCCATTTTAGGGATCTAGCATGATTTATTAACCATTTACCTAATGTCAAACATTTAGATCATTTCTGGATAGTACCTTGATTTATTTTCTTTAGAACACAGTCTTGGAGGTGACAAATCTGCAAAAGGCACAAACGTGTGTAAGGACCCTAATGCCTTCTTTTGAATTGGGGCAGGCGTAGCTTGTGGCAGAGAGGTCTAGGACAACCATTCTGCTCAATACTGACTTATGTAGAGGCAGTGCTAGGGAAAAAGCCATTTTCTTGAAAACTAATCCATGAAACAACTTTGTAAACAAATTAACATCAATAGAATTCATACATGGTCCAAAGTCTGCTGTTCAAAAGCCAATGACCAGGCCTAACCAATTCCTTTCTAGAGAACCATTAAAAAGGACTTGGTCATCAATCCCTAACCAACACCCATGAAATGATTTTCTCTTACAATCTTGTTTTCGTTTTTGTTTTTGTTTTTTGAGACAGAGTCTCACTCTGTTGCCTGGGCTAGAGTGCTGTGGTGTCAGCCTAGCTCACAGCAACCTCAAACTCCTGGGCTCAGGCAATCCTCCTCCCTCGGCCTCCTGAGTAGATGGGACCACAGGCATGTGCCACCATGCCTGGCTAATTTTTTCTATATGTATTTTTAGTTGGCCAATTAATTTCTTTCTATTTTTAGTAGAGATGGGGGTCTCGTTCTTGCTCGGGCTGGTCTTGAACTCCTGACCTTGAGTGATCCTCCCACCTCGGCCTCCCAGAGTGCTAGGATTACAAGCATGAGCCACCACACCCAGCCTCTTACCACCTTGTTAATAGGCTGATTGGTTCCTCCATTGTGGCACCTCAAGGGGTGCTATGGTCTGAATGTTTGTCCCCTCCAAAACTCATGTTGAAACTTAATCCCCAATGTGGCAGTATTGAGAGGTGACTGGGTCATTACGCAGTGACTGGGTCATGAGGGCTCTGCTCTCAACGGATTAATCTATTCATGGATTAATGGGTTAATGGGTTGTCACAGGAATGGGACTGTGGCTGTATAAGTTAGCGTGCTCAGCCCCTTGCCATGTGATGCCCTGCGCCACCTCAGGACTCTGCAGAGAGTCCCCACAGTGAGAAGGGCCTCAGCAGATGCAGCCTCTCCACCTTAGACTTCTCAGCCTCCATAACTGTAAGAAACAATTTCCTTTTCATTATAAATTGCCCAGTTTCAGGTATTCTATTATATGCAACAGAAAACAGGCTAAGACGGGGCCCCGTACATCCAGGCGTAGGGAAAATTCAACACTCAGCCTGCTCCCCTAACTTTTTACTCAAACTGGGACTAGATGACAATATAGCAGAGTGACTGTATTCTTAATGAATCTTCCAAATTTTCTACCATGAGCTCTTGATACTTTTATAAATGAAAAAATAAATGTGTGTATATATATACATATAGATACATAGATATATTTAAGATTGGTTACTGAGTTGAATTGACAGACATAGTTAGGGATTTGGAGTGTGTATAGGCTGTCAGAGCTGAAATAATTTGTCATTGGTTGCTTAGCAAGGTAGGACCCGGGGCCACAGTGGTATCCATCAAGTCCACCCAGGAAGATAGAAGCCATGATGACGGTTTCAGACAGAAGAGATTAATGCAGGGAACGGTGACACAAGCATAGAAGAGCCAACTGGAAGATGGTGAGGCAGGCAGCACCTGCAGGAAGCCACCTCTACCCCTGGCTGGTGCTAGCAGAGTGCAGGGGCCAGGGCCACCTAAGCAAAAGCTGAAACCAGAGTGGGCCTGTTCTGTGGAAGCCAGAGGGTAGAGGGGCTTCAGAGGGGCAGCCACTCGTGGAGACAGTGCCCTGGCTGCTCCCTTGTCCTCACCCCTGGATCTCCCTTAGTTCTTCCTCCCATTGAACACACCTAGCCTGAAGGAGGATCCTGGAAATGCAGCCTGCAGGGCTCAGCCCCTCTGCCCTAGAGAGTAGAGCTGGGCACAGGCAGGAAATGGACCTATGTCACAGACCCAGACTGGCACCGGACCCAGAAACCCTGGGGGGGAGAATAAATAGCCTCAGTCCCTGGCTCTGTGCCTTTCCCTGTGACCTACAAGAGCTGTAGGATCTGAGCCACAGAATGGGTCAGAGGACCAGTGGGTGACATTAGCTGGCCTTTGCCAGGCTGGGAATGGGAAGATGAGGACCCAGCCTGGCTACGCTGCTGACCTTGACAATGCCCCTGGTCTCCACATCTCACCTCCTCCTGCTGGCCGCTGCCACTGTAGAGTCTGAGAGGTTCCAATACTAAAGTGACCTGGCTAGGGGTTGGACAGCACGCCTCCCCTCCCTGGTGGTGTCTCATGAGAGGCGCGCATAGCAGGGTTGTCCGAGGTCATGCTGAGTTTTCAGCAAAACTGAAACAGCTTCCATTCAGCTCCTCACTCGCCCCAGAACCCAGAGCTGGATTCATGGTGCAGCCAGCACTCTATGTGCCAATCCCTCAGCCTGTGCTGACCAGGGATTCATGGCTGGTCGGTTCTTCCTCTCCCTAGACCTTCCTCAGCTAGACTCCATCTGGCCCTCACCCAGCTGTGTCCAAACCCCAGCTCGGATCAGTTGGGATCCAGTTTCGCTTTGAACCAAAGCCACCCATACTAGACTGTGTACTTCCTTGTTTCATTACCATCATTCTCTCTCCCTGCCCCCTTCGTATTGCATAACCATTCTCATATGCTAACACCTTAAGTTTTCTGGTGGCTGTTTTCAGATAGTTATCCCTGCACTGAGAGTTAGAACAAGGTGTAGTGTCATTAAGCTTCTTTTGTATATTCTTTACACAGTATATCTGTAGAAACTGCTTGGAGAATAGCTTGGTTGGGAGAAGATATTTGCCCTCTTGATTTCTCTAAAAGGGTCCTTTATTTACTTATGTTGCCTCCAACATGTGTTCATAAATCAAGGGTTTGGAATGCATTTTTTTTTCTTCATTTGATCATTCAGTAAGATATATTCGGGGTCTAGGCTCAGTGACCCATTGCAACCATGTTATAAATGTGAACTGATTCCCAGGCTAGCCCAAAGCCAGTTTAATCCATGAGGCCTGTGGTATGAGCTAGCCTCAGACCCTATCCATTGCCTAGAGCAGGTGTCCTCAAACTACGGCCTGCGGGCCACATGCCGCCCGCCTAGGACATTTATCCGGCCAGCCAGGTGTTTTTGCTGCTGCTGCCTGTCCTGCTTAGCAGCCGACTCGTCCCAGGCCCACAGTGCGCACTCTCCAACGGTCTGAGGGACAGTGACCTGGCCCCCTGTTTAAAAAGTTTGAGGATCCCTGGCCTAGAGCATTGTATAGGAAACACAGATTTAGGAAACTCAGCTCCCGTCTCCTGCCAAACCACATGTGGTCCCACTAAGAAGATAACATGGTGTCACCTGGGCAACAGAGTGAAACCCTGTGTCTTAAAAACAAAATTCTTCCAATCTAATAGTCAGAAACTATTTTCCTATTATAGTGCTCACTTCCTTGATTGCCGAGTAGCTCTTCATATGTTTGTTTGCATTTGCATATCCTTGACCTACTTTTTAATTAAATTATTTTTATTAATACTATATATTACGGAGAGTATGTTTATGTAGTTTGTGACCTGTCATGTAGCTTTGTTTACAGTGTCTTCGTATTAAATAAATTTTTATTTTTCATGTTATAAAAACTGCTGATGTCTCCCTTTTTGCTATTTGAGATTTGGGTTCCATTTATGGAGGTCTCACTCATGGAGGACTTCCTCTCCCAAATTGATTTAAATAGTTGTTTTGTATTTCATGCTAATAGATTTATCATTTGAGGTTTTTATGTACACTGCTTGAATCTATCTGGATTTTCTTTTTTGTTTGTTTTGTTCACCTTTTATTATGAAAAACCTCAAGTATATACATGTGTTATTTTGAAGCAAATCCCATACACACCCTTTCATCTGTAGAAGTTTCAGCATATTCTATATAAAAGATAAGTACTCATTTTTTAAAACACACAACCAGCCAGGTGTGGTGGCTCATGCCTGTAATCCTGGCACTTTTAGGAAGCTAAGATGGGAGGATCACTTGGCGCCAGGAGTTTGAGACCAGCCTGGGCAATGTAGTGACACTCTATCTCTATAAAAAAATTAAAAAACAATTAAAAAGCACATAACCATAGTATAATTACACATCTAAGAAAATTAATGACAAGTCGTTCCTTAATATCATTAAATATCCAATCAGTGGCCATATTTCCAATATAAATGTCACATTTAGTTTGAATTGGGAGTGAAATAAAGTAAAAATGCAATTGGCTGATATATTTTCAAATTGATAGCTGTGTTCCTCTGTCCTCTATATGTCCTCGAAATTGTGTCTTTTAGTTAGACACAATCTAGACAATCTAGAGGCATGATCAAATTCACATTTGCACTTTTTGGCAAGCCTCGTTCATAGTGGGGTTCCAATCTGAATTTATTTTTGTATGTGATATAAGGTAGGAACTTAACTTGTTTTTTTCCCCCAAATACATGGTTAATTACATGTTATACCAGTGTCAATTACTGAATAGTTCATTTTTTCCTTCCAGTAATTTGAAATGCCACTGTTATGTCACCCTCCTTCATGCCCCCCTTCACATACACCCTTCTCTATATAATTTGGGTCCTTGTTAGAGCTCCTGCTCCTTATTTTGTGCTCTTGATCATTTTTTCTGTGCTTGAGCCACATGGCTTTACACCTTGTAGATGTACAGTTTGTTTTGTTATCTACTAAAGCAGTTTTTTTCTTTATTGATCATTTTAAAGCAATTTGACTTTTCTTGTGCTTATTCTTCTGCATAATAATTTAATAATTTTTAATATGCACGTTAAGATTTTGATTCTGATTTCATTAAATTTTTAGACTTAGAGACAAATAGCATCTTTATAGAAATGAATCTGCCCATTCAGGGATATGGTTTTATTGGGTTTCTTTTCAGATATCTTGCTATTTTCCCTCCTATTTTATAAAGGATTTCTGTTTCTCCATGCATTTTTCAACTGATGATGGCTGGTACTTAGGAAAGCTTTGGTTTCCATAAGTCGATCTTATATCTGATTGGCCACCTTGCTGAACTTGCTTTTTTGAGGTTATAATTTTTTTTCCATGTTGATTATTCTGGATTTCCTGGTTGGTAAACATATCCTCTGAAACTGTTCTGTTTTGTTTTTTTCCCCCCTAGGCTCATGCAGAGTCAAGTAAAACCTGGCTGACGGGGAAATTCTCTGAACTCAGATTACTGCTTGATGAAGAGGAAGTGCTGGCCAAGAAATTCATTGATAAAAGCACGCAGCTTGTCCTCCAGATGTACCGGGAGCAAGCTGAGTCTTGCAGGGAGCAAATTGACATCATAAATGATCTCTCCAACAGGGTCTGGAGCATCAGTCAGGAGCCCTGTCCTGTCCAGCGGCTGCAGGTAGTGTTGGGATTTCTGCTTACAAGCTGCCACCTGCCATTTCCGCTCAGTTATTGTGGCTTTGAGCACAGTATGAACACACTAAGCAAATATGCAGAGAATTGCCTTGTCAGCACGTAGACTTCCTCACCCCCACACAATTGGCCAGAAAATAGACATTGTTCAGAAGATAATATACATCTTGGACTAATTAAATAATGTTAACAGCCATGGGGCCTCTGTGTTCTGAGCACTTTATGTATCTTATCTTAGCTCTGATATTCACTAGAACTCTGCAAAATGGATATCCTCACTCCACTGTATGAATGACAGATTGCAGCTCAGGGGGGTGAAGTGACTCACCCAGGCTCACATAGCTGGTAGGTGGCAGAGCTGGAATGCGAAGCCAGGTCTCTCTGACAATAACCCCACAACACAGTTTGCCTGGCCCTCTGCCTATATAGTCTTAAATTGAGACACCCATCCTGATAAGGCATGTGTGCTTTTAGCTACTGAGCAAATTTCAAAAGCTGAGTCATAGTTTGCCCAAGGGGGAGAGAAGGATGGTACTCCTTAGCCACTGGGCTTTGCTGAGAAAGAGGCTAAGAATTAGCCCCTGTCATGGTCATTGCTGCATTTAATGAAAGCATGTTGTTAAGGATGATATTCCCGTCTTCAAGGAACCATGGGAGAAATTCCTGTTTGGTGTCAATACCCCTATACATTCTCCTGTGCACTGGGATTTCCACTAATATAACTCTTCCAGTTTCCTTCTTTGTGTTGGCTTCTGGGAATCTCAAATCCAAATCTGTTTCAGCTAGCTAAGCTAAGACTTCATGGCATATGTTTTGTGTCTGGTTTTCTCTTTGCTTCATTATTCTCTCTGTATAAAAAATCTTGCAGCATTAGATGACCTTTGTAACTTTAAAGGCTATGGGACAAGGAAGGATATAACTAAAGGTGACACTGAATCTAACCACAGATTAGCATGGGCTTTGGCTGGAAAATAAGACAGACAAATGAATCCATCAGTACAAAACCAGCCAAGCCAGTCCCCTGGTGAATATTTCCACTTTTGTACCATCTTGTGTCCTCAGTTAGTTCAACCTGTGTCTCACTGTCAGCTATTTCATCCAAATTCTAGGCACAATGCGCATTGTACTTTAAGAAGGGCAAGGTGCACAATGCCCTACATTTGTTTGTTTCTTTTTAAATGATGGTAATTTTTAAGGATACCTAATACAAAGAAATGCTTCCATGGAGAAGAATGCTATCCTCACATCATAAAACACATTTCCAGGGTTTTGTCATTTCTGATTTTAATCATTCATCATTCCTTTCTTCTGTTTGTTCATTCATCTATTCATCAATTCATACTGAGCCAGGCTGCCTGCTAGACATTAAGAGCTCATAGCTGGCTGGGGAGACAGGCTGAGAAACAGTTATATACAATATAGCTTAAGCAAGCTAGTAAAAGTATGTCCAAGAAATGCCTAACTCTCTGTGTGTGGGGGGGAGGGCAGTCTGGGAGGACTTCTAGGAAGAGGTGATGACGGAGCTGGGTGCTGGAAAATGAGTGGGAGCGCACTGGGTATATACAGAGGGACGAAGCAGAGAGGACATCCCAGGCAGAAAGAAACTATGTCCATCCAAGAGTATGGCAGGCTGAGAACTACCTGGGGTACAGCCTGGCTTTGGGAGGAGTAGGGGTGTAAAGCAGGGGGTATTGGCAGATGCGGCTGGATCGGGAGGTCAGGGTTAGTTCAGGAAGGGCCTTATGTGCCAGGCCACAGAGCTTAGACTTTGTCCTATAGAGAGATAGGAGCCAGGGATATGTTTTTAACCAAGGAAAGAGACCATTAATGTGGTCAGGTTAGTGCTTTAGAAAGATCACTGGGTGACAGAGTGAAGGATGGACTGGGGAGGCAGGACTGGAGGCTGGAAGGGAATTTGGGAGGAGGCCACGACATCCAGGAGAGAGAGGAGGGTGGCCTGGACCAGGGCAGGGGCAGTGAGGATAGGGAGAGACAGGCAGGTTCAAGAGGTGCGACAGGAATGGTGAGTGGAAGTGGGGAATGAGTCAGGAGAAACCAAGATGATGCCTGGTTTCTGGCTTGAGAGATGGTGGCTGTTCTCTGAGTCTGCAAAGGCAAGAAGCAGCTGTGCTCAGTTTCATTCATTCATTTATTCCATCACAAATATTTATTGAGAACCTACTATGTGTCAGGTGCTGTGCTAGCTGCTGGAGTTTGGGGTTACCGGGTGGTGGCATTTGTCCTCTCATGGCCCCCAGTCCTACCCCACCCCTTTGTTCTCTGAGCCACCCTCCTACCTCCCTGGAGCTGCATCCTGCTCTCCCTGCTAGTGTCCTAACTCTGGCCACTTACCTCCAGCTCTCTGCGTGTGACCTTAACTCTGGTTCCCACAAAAATGAGAATGGACTCTAGACCCTCCGCCTTCTAGGCTAGATGGGGCATGGAGGCCATCCCACTGCCCCCTCCCAAGGCACAGCATCCTGCCAAGTGGGGCCTGCCTCTGCCCAACACCCGGGTGCCAGGCCACCCTCTCTCCCTGCTAGGGCCCCCATCTGCCCATCACTTCTCAGGCAACACCGCTGCCTGCCAAGACCTGCTCACCCGGGGCAGTCTGCTGCCTCCCAACGCCTTGCCCAGGACAACCCCTCAGAAAGTGCAAATTCAAGAACCCACAGTAACTGTTCTCAGCAAGAAAGGCGTTTAGGAAAGAACTGGGTAGCTCACAGGCTCTCCAGGGGCCCAGAGAATCCAGGTGGAAGACAGGGCAACAGGGATGAAGTCCAGGCCACAGCAGGGGTTTGTGCCATGTAGACCCCAGTGCACCCCTGCTGGGCAGGACTTCACAGCTCACACTCCTGACCCAGAGCCTCCACCACTGCTGTCCCCAGGAGCCACATGCTGCTGTCACTGCCTTCACCTTCACCTTCAAATCCAGGCTTTGGGGTAGGGGCGTCTTGTCACATGCCTGCAGCACGGATGCAGAGGGACGGGGAGAGTGAGTTTCCTACCTTGTGCGTAGCAAAGCCGCACAGCACAGGAAGGTATTTAAGAGGTGCTTTCCAGGCAGAAAACAGGATGCATGAAACAGGCCCTCTGTGGCAGCCACACCCCTCCGTCAGCCCTCCAGCTGAGCTCTCCAGAGTCCTTGGCTTCCCACTTGGGACACATCTTCCTGCTCCCTCCTTAGCACAAGCCCCAGGGCTCCTTCCCCAGGAAAACTGGGCCCTCACCCTGTTTGCACCTAAGGCACACCCCTGTCACAGGGGAGGGCCCCTGTGTCAGCCCATCAGCCCCTTCACAGCTGGCATGGGGTGGGGGGGCATGAACATGGAAGGAGGGAGGAGGGGATCCTCAGGGCCAGCACTACACCCAGCCTCCGCGTGTCTCCCCCCTTGGTCTGCTGCATGGGCTTTCCAGGGGCCCGGCCTGGGCTGACTGCAGGTGCCAGGCAGGGTGGGGCCTGGGTGTGCTGCGTGGGTCTGCCCTGGGTGCGCAGTGGGGCAGGGACACGGCCTGCAGCTCCCAGTGCCACCCTGACCCCCGCGTGCCCTCACAGGCGTACACGGCCACCGAGCAGGAGATGCAGCAGCAGATGTGCCTTGGCGAGCTGTGCCACCCCGTGCCCCTGTCCTTCGAGCCCGTCAAGAGCTTCTTTCAGGGCCTTGTGGAAGCCATGCGGAGTACGTTACAGACGCCTATGGACGTTCGCATTAAGGAAAGTAAGTCGCCATTCGACCCACTTTGTGCCCTTAGCTCTCCTAGCACCCTTTAGCCCTGAGACAGCTGTGAAAACTGTCACCCTAAGTCATGTCTCTCCCACTCAGAGGCCCTGGGCCAGGCGGGCCTGGTGCCCAACCCTCCCTCACAACTTCACCTCCTACCCCTCCCGAGGCCGGGTCCGGCCTGTCTGCAGCCACACTGTCCTGCTTCTGCCCCTCAGACTGCCCCCGGGATCCTGCCACGCCGAACTTCGCCTGCTCTGGGCTCCCAGCTGGAATGGCCAATGCTTCCTCCTCCTCTGGCTGCTCACTCCCTCTCCTGGCCATCTCCCCTCTGTCCTCCCCCCAGGGCCTGTCATGTCCTGCCTGGGGGTGTTCATGAGATGTCCCTCGCAAATGCCTGAAGGGCAGCGGGAACCACTTTGGGTCTAGCTCCGAGGTTCTGAGGTCCCTGCAGGGCCTGGCACAAAGCAGGTGTTCAGAAATATTTCTTCCTTTCATTCATTCATCCATCTCTGCTGTTGTGATTCATTCGGAACATGCATTGAGCCCTATAACGTGCGGGGCACAGCAGGGCACAGAACAAAGCTCCTTTTCCTTTGTGGTGCTCACAGTCTTCGGGGCAGGGGAGACAGACAACGCACAAACGTGTCAGGCCGTGAGAACTGCTGTGAGGAACCGGAAAGCAGGGCAAGACAGATGACAGAAGACGGGAGAGTGACAAGGAGGAGCTGTTTTATGCGGGCCGTGGGGAAGACCTCTGAGAAGGGGAAACGCAGGGTGACATGACAGAAGCATTCTGCAGGCTCTGTGGGTCTGAAGGGCAGGAGAGCACAGTGTCACAGGCACGGCCTCTGGAGCCAGGCCACCCAGGCTCCCTGCCCAGGTCTCCAACCCCGCTGTCTTGGGCAAGGCACCTCACTTTTCTAGCCTGGTTCCACACCTGCGAAATGGAGACCATAATATAGTCTTCTCTCGTGGGTGGTTGGGAGGATTAAATGAGTTCTTGTCCATAAAGTGCTCAGGCATAATTAAGCACTATGTGAGTGTTAGCTGTTATCACTGTTCTGCTGTTACATCGGGGGAGTGTTCTAGACAGAGGGGAAAGGAGTGCAAAGGCCCTGAGGCCTGTTGAAGGATTGGCAAAGGGGGGGTGGAAGGGAGTGGATACGGTGCAGTGAGGCCAGAGGAGAGAGAGATCAAGGAGGCTGCAAGGATTCCGGCCTGGGACCGAGCAGAAGGAAGGTGTCCTTTTCTGAAATGGGAAAGAGCATTTAGGATTAGCGGGAACGAGGTGTTTGGACCTGTTAGATTTGAGAAGTTTGACCTCCTATGTGGGGGTATCATACAGGCAATTGGATGTAGGATTCTGGAGTTCTGGGGAGAGGGGAGAGGCGTTCACCTAGGCGTGGGTTTCCCGCCCGTGACAGTGCGGGGAGTGATGGGGGCGGGGAAGGGCCACCTCAGAAGAGCTGGTCAGGGAAGGCAGGTCTGGGAGGTGGCGAGGGAACTCTAGCCCAGACAGCTGGCAAGGGGAAGCATGGTTCCAGGCAGAAGGGACAGCAAGTGCCTAGGGCTCCCAGGTGCTCCCCCTGTACCCTCTTTTTGGGATAGGCTCCAAGCCTTTTTTCTTTCTGAGGACTCAGCTCTGATTTCTTGTGTTCCATCTTTGCCCTGGCATTTGCATGTCTGCTTTGAAGTTGCTCCCATCCCTGAGTGCTGCCCCAGCTGACTTCACTTGTTGTCCTGGAGTTTTCCTGTTGCTGTGAATTTGCATTTCCTACTTAAATTTGCAAGTGATTCTTGGGGAGCGATTAAGCGACTCTCTCCAGTTTTGCAGTATTTTTAGTCTGTCTTATTTGTGCTGCTTACGTGAGCACCACGCACTCATTTCTCACAATTTGTCACAGACATGAACTGCCAACTCTCTGGCTCCTCCAGCACCAAGCCAGGAACCCTGTTGAAAATCAGCCCCTCACCTGAGCGATCGCTCTTCTTAAAATGTAAGACCCTGGGAGTGGGGAGAAGGTGGCGAGGGTGGGATGCTGGGCGGAGGAGGGTCATGGCAATGGAGGCCCCCCTTTTTTCTTGTTAAGGAACCCAATGGTTTTCTTTAAACTTTTATTATTAGTTTTAAAGGCATGTAAAGTAATACATGTTCATTGTAGAAAAATAAGAAAACAAAAGACAAAAGAAAATTACTCATAATCTCTCTCCCATAAATAATTAACTATTATTATTTGTCCTTTTAGCTTTTGTTGGCATATCTAATATACATATAATGATATATTTAATATATCTCTTTTTTTTGAGACAGAGTCTCACTCTGTTGCCCGGGCTAGAGTGCTGTGGCATCAGCCTAGCTCACAGCAACCTCAAACTCCTGGGCTCAGGTGATCCTGCTGCCTCAGCCTCCAGAGTAGCTGGGACTACAGGCATGTGCTACCATGCCCGGCTAATTTTTTCTATATATTTTTAGTTGTCCAGTTAATTTCTTTCTATTTTTGGTAGAGAAGGGGTCTTGCTCTTGCTCAGGCTGGTCTCAAACTCCTGAGCTCAAGCAATCCTCCTGCCTCAGCCTCCCAGAGTGCTAGGATTATAGGCATGAGCCACCGCGCCTGGCCTGGACATGCATTCTTAAAAGTAAATTTACACAAATCAAAGGTGTGCATCTCAATGATTGCTTAAAAGTAAACACATTCAATAACCTCCTTCAGATCAAGAAATGGAAATTTCCACTCCCCAGAAGGCTTCCTCATGTCCCCTCTTATTTACTTTCTCCAAAGGGTATCTATTTTCCTGACTTCTAACACTGTTACTTTTGCCTGTTTTTAAGCTTTATATATAACTAGATCATTCAGACTATATGTTTTCATTCAACATAGTATTTATGAGATTTACCTATATTATCATGTGTAGCAGTAGTCTGTTCATTTTCACTGCTGTATAGTGTTCCATTATTGTATGGGTGTAGCACACTTTATTTATACTACTGATGGACAGTTGGATCGTTTCAGTGTTGCCTGTTGTGAATAATGTTGCTATAAAATTCTTGTGCATGTCTGTTTTTTTTTTTTGAGATGGTAGTCTCGCTATGTTGCCCAGGTTGGTCTTGAACTGCTGAACTCAAGCAATCCTCCCATCTCAGCCTCCCAAGTAGCTGGAATTACAGGCGTGCACCACTGTACCCAGCTTGTGTATGTCTTTTGATGCATGTATGCATGCATTTCTGTTGGGTATTTACCCAGAGTGGGAGAAAATGATGCCCACTATAACCACTTCTATTCAACATTGTTCTAGATGTCATAGACAGTACCTCAAGGCAACACAAAGAAATGAAAGGCAAATAAGAATTGAAGATGGAAAAAAAAAGAGATTATTCTTAGATGATATGAATTATAGAAATCCCACATAATCTAAAGATAATTTAGAAGTCCTAAGTGAATTTAGAATAGCTGCTTGATATATCAGTACACAAAAATCAATTAAATTTCTATATATTGGCAATTGACAATTAGAAAATAAAATTTTAAAAATAAATAAATCTAACAGATGATGTGTAAAACTTCTCCACAGAAAACACCACAACATTACGCTGAGACAGTAATAACAGCTTAAATAAAAGGAGGGATATACCACATTCATGTACTGAAATACTCACTGTATGCTTCCTGTAGCTGCTGTAACCAAGTACCACAAACTTGGTGACTTAAAACACAAACCTATTCGATTACAGTTCTGTAGGATGGAAGTCCAAGACGAATCTCACTGGGATGAGAGCTCTCAGGAGGCTCTAGAGGAGAGTCCATTTCCTTGCCCTTTCCGGCTTCTAGAGGCTGCCTGAATTCCTTGGCTCACGACACTTTCCTCCATCTTCAAAGCCAGCAATGGTCCAACTCTCTGGCCCAGAGTGGGAGAAAATGATGCCCACTATAACCACTTCTATGCACACTATAACCATTCTTCTATGGTCACATGTCTGTCTAACTCTCTTCTTCTACCTCTTCCACTCTTAAGGGCACTTGTGATTACTTTGGGCTCACCTAAATAATCCAGACTAATTTCCCTTTCTTAAAGTCAGCTAATTAGCAACTGTAATTCCTCTTTGCCGTGTAACCTAACATTCACAGGTTCCAGGGATTAGGATGTGGACAACTTTAGGGGGCCATTCTTCTGCATACCACACTCACTATTGTAAAAATATCAGTTCTTCCGAATTAATCTATAGATTCAATTGTAATCGTACTCAAAATCTCAGGAAATTTTTTCTTTGTAAGTGACAAGCAGATTTTAAAATGTTTGTAGAAATAAAAGGGTGGAGAACAGCCAAGACTATCTCAGAGAAGAACAAAATGGAAATTTCAGAATCATATTTACACATGTGGTCACTTGACTTATGACAGGAATGACATGATAGTACAGTGGGGAAAGGAAAATCCTTTTGATAAATGATACTGGTCAATTGGATATCTATATGGGAAAAAAATGAATCTTGATGTCTATCTCACACCAGTAACAAAATTAGAGGCTCTAATATGAAAGAGAAAACAACAGAGCTTTTAGAAAGTAATGCAAGAGAAACCTTCATAATCTTGGGGTAGGCAAAAGTTTTAAAAATGGGATACAAAAAACACTGACCATTTAAAAAATTGATAAAGTGGACTTCAATAAAATTAAGAGTTTCTCTTCATCAAACCACTCAAAGGAGGTGAGTGTGGTGGTGCACACCTGTAGTCCCAGCTACTCAGGAAGCTGAGGCAGGGAAGATTGCTTGAGCCCAGAAGTTCAAATCCAGCCTAGGCAACATAGAGACCCCATCTCTTAAGAAAAAAAAAAGCCTTAGAGTGGGAGAATATATTTGCATTCAGAAACAGATACTCAACAAAATACTCACCCTAAATTTGTAGAGTTTCTACAAATCCCTAAGTAAAAGACAATTAATTTTTAAAAATCACCAAAAGACTTGAACAAGCATTTCACAAAGAAGGATATCTATATGACCAGTAAAGATATGAAAAGGGCCAGGTACTGTGGCTCACGCCTATAACCTAAGCACTTTGGGAGGCTGAGGCAGGAAGATCACTTGAGGTCAGGAGTTTGAGGTTGCAGTGAGCTCTGATAACACCACTGTTCTCTACCCAGGTATCAGAGTGAAACTCTGTTTCAAAAAAATATATATATGAAAAGGTGTTCAACATTAGTCATCAGAAAAATGCAAATTAAAACCTCATGAGACAGCACTGCATACCCACCAGAATGGCTAGAATTTCAAAAACTGATCATACCAAGGTTGACAAATATGTGGATAACAAGAATTTCTCTTACATTGCTGTTAAGAGTGTAAACAATTCAGAAAACTGTTTGGCATTTTCTACTTGGCATTTTCTACTAAAGCTGAACGCCCTACATAACCCTATGATCCAGACTTAAAAAAAAAACAACTTCATGTTTACATACACGATATAATGCAAAGAGAAATGTTAATGAGATTAAATCACTACAAACTTTCTGAAGGACAATTTGGCAATATTTATCACAGGCCTTAAAATAATCATACCCACTGACCCAGCAATTCCTCTTTCAGGAATATACCCTAAAGAAGTAATCAGATACATAAAAATATAATCCTCTTAGTATTTCCAAAAGCTTTTTAAGAAGCCTAAACACTTAAAACAATAGAGGATTAAATTATAATGTGTCCATACATCAAAATCTTAGAATCATCACTAAAATGCTCATGTGAAAGAATATTTGATGTGGTAAAATTGTTCCTATCAACAAATTTTAAAAAGCAGATTGTGTAAGAGTATGTATGGTATGATACCAATCTGCAGAAAAACTATAAAACGGCATGTTGTGGGGGGGATAATTGGAAGGACAAACACCCATGTTAGTAACAGGATTGCTTTTTAATTAAATTCTTAGAAATTGGCAATTCCGTGGTAAAAAATTCAAATGGTGTAAAGGGCGTACGGTAGAATTTTCTCCCCTTCCCTTGCCCCTAGCCACCTCCCCAGAGGCAATGGGATAAAAGGGGAGGCTTCCAACCTCTCCCTGGGCGGCCTAGGCGTCTCCCCCTTTTGTACCCCGCGCGTGTGCCAGGGCGGGCGGCAAGGGGGCGGGCGTGAGGGGCGCAGAGCTGGCCCCGCCCACCAGGCTTGGCTCCGTGTCCCCGCCCCCCGCAGACGCGCGCACGCCCTCGCTGGAGCCGGACACGATGCACGCGCGCCTGCGCCTCTCGGCCGACCGCCTGACTGTGCGCTGCGGCCTGCTGGGCCGCCTGGGCCCGGCGCCCGCCCCGCAGTTCGACGCGCTCTGGCAGGTGCTGGGCCGCGACTGCTTCGCCGCCGGCCGCCACTACTGGGAGGTGGACGTGCAGGAGGCGGGCGCCGGCTGGTGGGTGGGCGCGGCCTACGCCTCCCTGCGGCGCCACGGGTCCTCGGCCGCCGCCCGCCTGGGCTGCAACCGCCAGTCCTGGTGCCTCAAGCGCTACGACCTCGAGTACTGGGCCTTCCACGACGGCCAGCGCAGCCGCCTGCATCCCCGCGAGGACCCCGACCGGCTCGGCATCTTCCTGGACTACGAGGCCGGCGTCCTCGCCTTCTACGACGTGACGGGTGGCATGAGCCACCTGCACACCTTCCGCGCCACCTTCCAAGAGCCGCTGTACCCAGCCCTGCGGCTCTGGGAAGGGACCATCAGCATCCCTCGGCTGCCTTAGGGGCCAAGGCCGGCGTGACCTTCCCCGGCCCTCAAGTCTCACCTCGAGCAGAGTGGCTGGTCTACTTCCTACTTTCTAAGCCCTTCTCTCTGCCCCAGCCCTCCCCCACAAATGGCGCCCAATGCTGTGACCGGTCCCCCTCCCAGGCTAGTTTCAAACGTATCCTAAACACACGCTGCTGCTGCTCTCTTATCAGACCTCCCGACACACAGACGCCACCATTGTCACACTACACTACTTTTAGTCCAGGGTCCTGAAGGTGACATATGCACAGGTGAGCCCTAAGCATGCTGACCTTGTCTGAATACATTAGGCTCAGCCTGAGAACCTCCTCCCTCCTACAACATGTGAACCTGGCACATAGTAGGCACACAGTAAATATCTGTGAGCGAACAAGAGTCACCCGGCCCTGCTCTTCTATCCCTTAAGGTCCCTTGGATCTGCCTCCTTTCCACCGTCTTCAGCTTGTCCACGTCACCTCCCTCCAGAGCAGCTGCAAGAGCTTCTCAACGCTCCCTGGCCTGAACAGTCTCTCATCCTCATCTACCACGCTAAAACCAGACTGAGCTATCTAAAACCTCACTTAACCTCTTAGAACTTTGAAGAGGCTCCCAAGGACTACATGGAAAAACAAAAAACAAGCACTTTCCCTCAGCATTCAAGGCTTTTCTAGTCTGCCCGAGACCACTTACCCTCATCTAGCTCCTGCTGCTCTTCAGAGACCCTCCAATCAGAAGTGTGAGTCACATAGTTCTCTCTCTGCACCCTTGGCCTTTGCTGCTGTCCTCCTCACGCCGCACAGCCCCGAATTTGTAGAGGAAAACCTTCTTGTCTGCTTCAGTCTTACTCAGACCACAAGAATCTCTCTTACAAATCCAGGACCTATCTTTCCAACTAGATTGCAAGCTTTCGGAGGGCAGCTATGTCCACCTACACCCTCCTGACCCTGCAAAATTCAGAGAGTCCCTTCCTTCCCAAGCAGTGAATTTTAACCAGCAGGTGCCTATCACTGACTCACAGAACAGCTGAGCTGGGAGGGCTTCACGGATCACCCCGCCTGACCTCAGTGTACACTGGGGGAGACTAAGGTCCTAAGAGAACTCTAGGGCTGCTTACAGTTACCCATGGTGATTCAGGGCTGAGCCAGGCCTGCAGCCTAGACCTGCCGTGCCCCACCCACCAGCCCCCAGGCAAGTGTCTGACCTGTCCCCGGCCCAGTCTTCAGGTCTAGCTTTCTACTGGGAGATTTTACTTACCCATTTCTCAAGTGATGTTGGGAAGGAATCAGCAGGGACTATTGCTAAGCAACCACTGGCAGTTTTCCCCACTGTCTTGGGACAAAAAGGAGATGAGTTAAGTGGGGTTTGAGCAGCCCCAGCCAGACATCCCTATGCTCCTCAGATCCCTCAGACCAAGATGTTGCCAAGGAAACCCAGAGAGCCCAGCTTTCTGCAGTGAAGTGACAGAAACAGAGGAGCTCTTCTAGCAGGGAGAGGTAGGTCCCCTTCCCAGGTCCTGTGCCTTGGTTCTGAAGGCTCAGCATCCTGATTTGTCAATTCCCTAGGCAGTTTTGGAGTCTCACTGTGTTAAAGTGTCTTCTTAGGTGCTTGGTGGAAGGACAGTGGGAGGGTGAGGAAAACGCAAGGCTGAATCCTCCTCATGGTGTAAGGAGACTCTCAATGCATTAATTAGTTTGAATTAAATAAAACTGTCCATTTTCAATAGTTTTTGACTTAAAAATGGTGCTTTCATATGGGGCAAGATAATACAGGAATACAAGACACCTCAAAAGTGCCTTTACTTGTAACCAAATAACTTAAAACTCTAGCTGGCTAGGTGTCTAAATATTATGATTCAGAAATCCTGAGAAAAGGGGAAATTAGTTCTACTAATTAAAATGCTAATTAATTTGGGAATTGCCCAGAGCTGAATTGTGATGGGCAGAGGACATTCCTGATAGAGGGAAGTTAGTACACTTGACCACACATCTCTGTCCACCCCTGAAGACCAAAGCCTGTTCCCAGGCCCATGGCTACAGGGGCCAAGTAATAAGACAGTTCTCACTGTCTTGCAGCGCTGTGCTCACGCTTTACAGCTGAACTCTCTTGACCCTCACATCATGCCTTGGGGGTAGAAAGTTATCCCAGGTCTCCACAGGGAAAAATGGAGACCCAGAATGAGTCACTTGCCTAAGGTTGCACAGCTAGTAGTGGAGCTGGGTTCTAGGCCCAGGCTGAGCTCCAGGTCTGTGCTCATGTCTGCCAGGCCCCTACTGCTCAGGGTGGATGCAGCTGGTCTCTGGCCAGCGCCTGCTCACTGTGGCCCCCTCTCATTGAGTTACTGCCTCTGATGCTTTGCTTCTGCCTGGTCACTCCATGGGACTTGACTGTACCTTTGGATTACCTTCCTTGGGACCTGAGATGAGGCTTTATACCCAGAGGGGGACTAGTTAGAGTTTGGGATTCACATAGAAACAAAACTGGACTATACAGGCTGAAAACTGGCTGTGTGCCAAAGCCTCTGCTAGCCAGAAAACTGTGGTCTCAGCCCATAATCAACGGTGTGACCTCAGGCTAGTCACTTTTTACTTGTCAGAGACATCTGTAAAATGGGAGTAAAGACACTACCAGTGCTGTGAGACTCAAATAGGCCAAAGGTTATGAACTTGCCTTAAAAACTGTAGTGCTGTATTGTGCCAGGAACTGTTAGCATCCCCAGTGGAGTTCCCATCGTACTGTCAGAGTGCCGAGACAACTGATACTCCCAGCTGCAACCTGGCAGTAGCAGGAGCCTCCCTGAATATTCTCAGCGTAGGAATGAAGCTTCCTTGGGGTCCGTGACTATCGGGTACTGTCAATTTACCTTATTCTCTGTCAGATTTTAATTTGTAGATGAAAATTCTTTATTGAAATGGCAAATTACTTCCAGATATTTTTAAATGACAGCAGTTTTCTAATATGTGGTTTAATAAAGCATGAATATTGTCTCTTTTAACCATGCCCTTCTTCACTGGGAGTTCATGTTGCTTCAAGTAAGTACATAGCACCCAGGCCTGGACAGGCCCCCGCCTGTCACCCATTCCTTCCACAACTTTCTGGTGGTAGTCAGCTAATCCCAGATTGGATGTTCCCGGTAATGAAGAGTTCACTACTTCTGAAGGTAACTCAGTAAGTTCTTGCTTAAGTGGAAACAAACCCTGACTCCCAGCCATCCCTATCCAAGATAGTATTATGTAGCTTTTGGCATCTTTGTGATCATCCTTTAGCAACAGTGAAGCTATTTGTAGTCACTTCCTCAGATTTCAGGGACCTTCCCTTCCCTATTCTATCTAATCTCTTCTGTTTCTGCAATTCCACTTTGTCAGGGAGCAGGAGACCGTGATGTCAGCCTAGTGGAGGTGCAGCCTAGCGGAGGGCACACAGAGGTGGCCGTGCACTGCCAGGGCCTGGTGGGCGGAGGAGTCAGTACATGATGAGGGGACAACTTGCTCACGATGGCAAGCTACACACGACGGGGAGTAAGCATGAGAGTGAAGGGCCCAGATCTGATTCTACCATGTCCTGCTCAGAAACCTTCCATGGCTCCCCACTTCCCATAGAACAAAGTCCAACTGAGCCGGGTTTTAAGCCCTTCCTTCCCCATGTGTCCACTCCCTGCTAACCCATCACTTGCTAGTCCTTAGGCACTCTGGGCATTTCCCAAGCCTGTGCCCCAAATTGCACGATTCCTCAGTCACTTCCTGACCTGCAAGGTTGAACTAAAGTGTCAGCTGTTCCAGGTGGTATTCCCTGGCCAATGCGCCCTCCCTTTCCCATCCCCACTCCTGTCTCAGCTCCTGAGACAGGTAAATATCTCCAGTGTTCACCCACTTGGAGCACTGTTTGTGGAGGCACCAGCACCCCAAAGGCCTTGAATTCCTAGACAAGGACCGCCTGCTGCCTTGCTGTGTGCCCAGACTGCACCTCCCACCTGGCAGGGATGTTTTTTAGACCTGAGCTTCCCAACTCGAATGGGCAAGAAGTGTGCCCAGATATCAACCCTTCAGCCCTGTGGGCAACCTGGCACAGCATGAGGTGGCCAGCTGCTACCGGCTGCAAGCAACCCTGTAATTCCCCACACATAGCACACATGCTGTCATTTTCTCTAAGCTGTTCTGGACAACGGCCCTCCAGCTCAGTTCTCTCTAACACATTACACAGGCTTCTACTCAAAAGGCAGAGGTAAGTCCTGTGACCACAGTGCCTCTTCCAACTCAGCCTCCACTCGGGAAACCTAGCAGGGATTTAAAGGGCACCCTGGGCCCTTCTGATGTTCCAGTATGCCCAGACCTGGAGGTGACCCTCTAGTTCCCTGTTGGGAACTGCCTTCTGCACATTTTCGGCTAGAGCCTAGGCCAGGCCCTTCTCTCCCTTCCTTCCAGATCCATCTCCTGTTTCAAGGTCCTGGAACATACTACTCTACTACCATATTCTGTTTCTCTGCTTGTTAGGAAGTCTCGGGTATTTGCTTAAATGTCACCTTCACTACTGTTGTAGAAAAAAAAAGGCCATGGAATCAGAAATCGATTTACTCAACATCTGCTTATAAGGAAAAATAAAAGGGGGTGAACATCAGCCAGAAATTGATACTATCACACTTCAATTCTTAGCACGTCAATTTTACAGTTTCCCTTTTACACAAGTACACACAGGATTCCCACCCACCCAGACACACATGCTGTTCTAGAAATTGTTTTGGGATCCACAGGAGAGGGAGGCCCTATATTCAACAGGTAAAGAAACTTCAAAAGTCAAATTATATGCATTTGAAAAGAGACTCAAATATACACTTTGAAACAAGAGGAGTTATATAGTTATATAGTAAACAAGGTTAAATAAATATGAAAGATTAAGAAGTTGAAAATACATTTGAAAAAAATTATTAATCTCAGTACTGGTTCAAAACAAAGAGGAATATGACACTGAATCTCTATAAAAGGTTCATGCTTTTTGTTCAAGGAAGTAAAACAATCTTTTTTGTTAGCTGTGTTTGTAACTTTATAATATGTGACATAAAATTTTGTTGCTATGGAAGGGCTGATTTTAGGATTACCCTCATAATTAAAAATTGTAAGCTCCAAGCCCCTCATTCCCATCCCTTCCCCTTTATACTGATGTTTTCCCCTATTGCGCATATTGGCATCTGACATACTGTGTGACTGCTCACTGTGCTTATGGCTTACTGTGCATCTGCCCCCATCTGAATGCAGATTCCCTGAGGAAGGGATGGGACACCACCATATCCTCAGTGCCTAAAGCACTGTGGCACATAGTAGGCCTTCAAATTTTGTTGAAAGAAGGAACATGTGCCATTTCCTTCTTTTTGTTCACAGAGATAAGAATGCTTTCTGCATTTCTTCGCCCACAAGATCCTTTGACCAATCCCTTTTCCAGTGATGAGTGACCACTGTACAATACTAACCAGACACAGAGCCCAAGGGCAGGAAGAGGGTAAGGGCAATGGAGAAGGCAGGCAGGGTGTAAGGAAGTGAGATCTGTTTGGCTTCACGGGGCATGGGAATGAAGACTTAAAGGAGAGGACCCGAGCAGCCGGTTTTTGCCTCCCTTTGCAGGCACACAGCGAGTGGAGGGCATGGACTTGCTTTTGAGCCCACCTCTCCTCCTGTGCCAGCCACCTTGAAGCAGAGACTGCCTCATTTCCTCCTCTTATCTCTCCAGTGGGCTTGACACAGGGCCTGGCCCAGAAATATCTGCTGTGTAAGGAGGGGCTGGTGGTGGTGGATGAACGCCAGGTCTCTGGAGACTACCACTCCTGCCCAACTCCCCCACCCAACAGCACCAGCAAGGCAACTGAGAATTCAGAGAATGGCACTTTATTTTAAGACTTTATTTTTTTGCCATGATTTTCTACTGATTCTTCCATGATGGTATCATCTTCTTCAACAGTGACAAGGACCTTCTTGCCCACGAGATTAAAGATGTCTTCAGGAGGATAGCCTTTGGGCTCGCCCACCTTCACAGTGAGCATGTCCAGTGTTAGAATGGTGCCTTCTGGAATTTTCACTTTGGCCACCACAGACTTGCCCAGCTGTGGACAAAATTAAGACTCAGTGCCCACTTCAGAGAAATAACTAGTGCACATCTCTTTACACCCAAGGTCCCTGACCCCTCTTCACAAAGTACCTTGGGAGCAGGGACTCTGTTATCCCCAACACCGCCCCAAACAATCTCTCATACACAGCAGGGATTCAGTCAGTGTGGGGTGAATCCAGAGACTCAGAGGAGGGGCGTTTATAATAAAGTGCAAAGGAAAGGGCTCAGGCTATGTAGACAAGCAGGTTCAAATCCCAGTGAGCTGGGGATAAGCCGTGTTTGGTTTCCCCGTAAAATGGGAAATAACTGTGCTTGTATCTTGTCAGATGACTGTAAGGATCAGTGATAATATGTAATGTATCTGGAACATACATGGAAACTATGATTCTTTTTGTCACCACCTAGCTCAACATCTCATTGTAAACATCGGGAAACTGAGGCCCACAGAAGGCAGTGACTTGGCCAAAGTTGCAAATAGGCAGGATGAGAACCTAGAGGATGAGACTTCCCGACTCCCACTCCACTGCTCTCAGGGGCACAAACCTTACTGCCACTCTGTTTGGTAAGACAGGAGTATGAAGGGCTCACAAGACTGTGAGTGTGACACGAAAGAGAGCTCCCCAGGAAGGGCAGATGGGACAGGCAGGTGAGGGGAATGAAGGGTGCCTGACGCTCACAACCAGTGTTTCTATCTTCTCCACAAATACTTACAAACAAATCATCTATTTTATTACTTCACATCCTGCATGTGAGAGCCCAAGGAGTCAACTCTGCATGGAATTCAGTGCCAGGATAAATGCCTGTCCTCTAGTGTACTATTTGCTCAGGGAGCCAAATTAAGTGCTCCACTGCTGTAAATCTCATTCTGGTTTCTAGTATGATTCTCTCCCCTTTGCCTCTATAAAGTAGTTTATTTCTTTTTACTATTTATTTTGATTTCCTGGTATATATGCATCTTTAATTTGGGGCAGCAGGTAGGCCCCACTAGAATAAAAGATGACAATATTCCCCACAAATGCCTGGTGTTTGTTTGATCTTTGCCTCAATCCAGACAACCTGCGGCAGATTAGGTGTGTCTACATGCCTGACAGCCCCAAGACACCTGGCTCTGTGACTCAGAGGGCAAGAAGGTCCAGGCCATGGCTTCTAAGAAGCCCCGATAGTCAGTGTGCCAGGCAGTGCTTCTTGGTCGCCTCATCCCTCCGTCTGAAGGTCAGTGCTGCACAAGGAATATTTATCTGCATCATCACGCACCAACCCCCTGCGATGACTCACTGCCATCTATCCAGTGCCTCCCCTGCTTAGGGAATGCCACAGGCTCTGTTCCTGATGCCTCACAGAACCCCTGGCCTAAATGTTTCCCAGGTTTTTCAGAGCTTACCTACTCCAAGGGACCCTGAGTGTGACTCATCCCAGGGCTCACCCCCTTTACATCTCCTGAAGTCTAGGAGCACTGGGGCCACAGGCTTCAGAGATTTAGTGGAGGACTCTAACATTACCTAGGAGGTGGCCAGAAAAACCATTAAAGTTCCCCTATGTAACATGTTTCTCCTACTGCTACAAATAACTACTATATAAGATACTGCTGTTAGGAGTAACACAGTTCTCCTGCTGCTAACACGAGCCTGAAGAAACTCAGAGGGGTTGGGCCGACACTCCTTTATCAGCTCATTGGCCTGGCTCAGGCAGGGCTGGTACTGACTGTCCTCTCAGATCAGCCCACCTTGTCCCCGCTCACAGCAGTGGAGCCGAGCAGAGTCGGGCAGGACCCACCTTCTCATTGCAGGCCATCTCGCAGGGCAGCAGCTGCTTGGTCGGGGAGCCCATGGCCCTTTCCACGAGGCGCACTGACCGCACTAGCTCGGCCAGTTCTCCAGGCTCCAGTGAGGCTGAGTGGTCACTCCCCTTCCAGGTCTTGTCCAAAGTTATGTGACGTTCCACCACCTTGGCCCCCAGAGCCACTGCAGCCACAGATATTGCTATGCCTGTTTCGTGTCCAGAATACCCTATAGGAATGTCAGGAAAGACCTTCTGATATTCCTTTAAAATAGAAAAAAGAGGAAGAAGTTAAATAGTGTGGTGCTTTAGGCATATTCTCCAGGGTCAGGCAGATCTGAGTTGAGCCCGGTTTAGCCACTCACTGGCTACGCAACCATGAGCAAGATGCTGAGGTTTTCTCAGTCTCTCTTTCTTGGGGAATACAACAGCACCTGTCCAGGGCTGCTATAAATGCATGCAAAGCACTCAGCGTGTTGTAAATGCTCCAAACACAATTGTTATTGTTATCATTAACAATGACTTTTAAGAATGGTTCACACTGCACAAACCACCAGGAAAAACAATGGAACTATAACCAAATGCCTAAATTCATTCAAAGAGCATCTGTCACCTTTAATTAGCCTGAGCTGCTGAAAGCAAGTGTGCTATATGCAAAAATACCATCAATAATATATACAGCCCAATCTCAAAACAGTCCTTTGGTGGAAATGCTAAATAATTAATTAATCAGTCATCTATAATCCAGTGAATGCAACAAAAGACATTCTAAGATGGATGAGTCTTGTCAGTGACCAGAAAACGTAAGTATACGAGAAAGACTCGGATGGGGTTTAATAAAAGATTAGGACAGCGGAGTGGCAAAGGCCTTGAAAACCAGGATTAAGGGTGTGTGATGGAGTGCAGGTTGCTAGGTCAGAGAATTCATATAAGTACAGCGTGCTAACTGATTGTGCCACTGGAGCTCCAGGTCAGAGAATTCAAACTGCTGTAACATGGGTGGGTAGGCCCAAGAGGGGGCAGGCTGACAAAATAACTCTCACTATGCTGTGGTATCAAGAGAGAGGAAGGCATGACAGCACCTCCTAGGTGGGATGGAGGAGAAACGGTGTCTACAATATACTGAGAAAGAAAATCAAGGGAGGTCGGGCGCGATGGCTCACGCCTGTTATCCTAGCACTCTGGGAGTCCAAGGCGGGCAGATCGCTCAAGGTCAAGAGTTCAAAACCAGCCTGAGCAAGAGTGAGACCCTATCTCTGCTAAAAATAGAAAGAATTAATTGGACAGCTAAAAATATATAGAAAAAAATTAGCTGGGCATGGTGATGCGTGCCTGTAGTCCCAGCTACTCGGGAGGCTGAGGCAAGGCAGTAGGATCACTTAAGCCCAGGAGTTTGAGGTTGCTGTGAGCTAGGCTGACGCCACAGCACTCTAGCCTGGGCAAGAGAGTAAGACTCTGACTCAAAAAAAAAGAAAAAGAAAATCAAGGGAAATATCTGAAGCAACATCTACCACACTGTTAATTATGGTAATCTATGTGGGATGGAATTACAGGAGATGTTCATTTTCTACATTATATATTTCAGAGTTGTCTGAGTTAAGAAAAAAATGTTTAAGTTTTTAAAGTGATTTTGGCCTGGCAGCATGGTGGCTCACAGTAATCTCAGCACTTTGGAAGGCCTAGGCAGGAAGATGACTTGAGGCCTGGGGTTCAAGGCTGCAGTGAGCTATGATGACACCACTGAACTCTAGTCTGAGTGACAAGGTGAGACCCTGTCTCTAAAAATATAAATAAATAAATAAAAATAAAATGATTGAGAGATGAGCTAGAAGTAGAGAAAAAGATATCAGTATTGAGAGGGACAGAAAGTTTAGGTAAAAAGATAGCAGTGTTTGTTTTCGAAAAGGTTAAAAGTTTTCTTAAATATAAATGCTATGTGGAAACATGTAAAAAAGCTTATACTGTGATGGAAAAAACTAGAATGTCAAAGACTATACTGAAAGTAAAATATAAAAGGAAAACTGGTTAATTGCAATATCAGGATTACAACTGTGTATGTATATATATTTTTTAGAATTCCATTAATGTTACTATGTTTTTTATGATAATTACATATCTATTTGTTTTCTAATTAAGTTAAATTTCAGGGGCTATCAGGAGGAACTGATAGAGATGGCCTGACACATTAAAAGACAAAAAACTAGGCGGACGGGCCCCAGATTCTAGTCCCCACTTTGCTACCAAGCTGCTGTGGGGCCCCTTGGGACTGGACTTCACCACCTGTAAAATGATGGAGTAGACAAAATCTTAGGAGAGAGAAAGCTCCCTGAAGACTGTCACTGTAACCAGTTTGAGCCTCAGGGATGCTCAGAATTAGAAAATAAGAGAATCAGCAAATAATAAAGCAGAAAAAGCCAGAAGTTTCAAGAAGATCTCTTATAACTGAATACAAAAAAAGACAGATATCCGTACACCAATGTTCATAGCAGCATTATTCACAGTAACCAAAAGGTGGAAGCATCCCAATGTCAGTCAGCAGATAAATGGATAAAGAAAATATGGCATATGTGAAAGATGGACTATTATTCAGCCTTAAAAGGAATGAAATTCTGACACATGGCACAACATGGATGAACTTTGAAGACTAAGTACAAAAAAGACCAACATAAAAGGACAACTATTGTATGATTCCATTCATATGAGGTACCAAGAGAAGTCAAATTCATAGACACAGAAGGTAGAACAGAGATTACCAGGGACGGGGGGAGGGGAGAAATGGGGAGTTAGTGTTTCATGGTGCAGAGTTTCAGTCTGGGATAAAGAGAAAGTTCTGGAGGTAGATGGTAGTGACGGTGGCACAACAGTGAGAATGTGCTTAATGCCACTGAACTGTACATCTAAAAATGATTAAAATGGTAAATCTCATGCTTTGTATATTTTACCACAATTTAAAAGAATAGAAAATACATGAAGGAAGGAAATGAGCCAACAATTCAGAGAATAGGGGCCTCCAACGGGCAATACACTCTGGCAAAGAAAATGTATACAAAGGTAATTACAAGGACTCCATTTTAAATTTTATAATGGGAGACATTAAGATTGGTTTTAAGAAAATTTCAGTTATAACACCACCTTTAAAATGTATGTGCTCCCTCAACTGCTTGGTTCTAATTTGATTCTATGACAGCAAGACTGTCAGAAGATGTTCAAATTCTAAAGTATGCTATGGTTGTTCAAAATTTTGGTTATCAAAAAAGACTCTATCTGGCACACAATAAATGGCCCAACAAAAGCCACTGTGCTACAGCCTGATCAGACAACACCCACCCCTGCTCACCGAGATGACACGCAGGTTGACGTCCTCCGGCTGGAGCGGGTAGGCGCTGGTGCACTGGAGGAAGCAGAAGTTGGGGTTGAGCGGCTTCACGATCCGGTAGACCTGCTTCATGGTGTCCATCGACTGCATCCCGCTGGAGATCACCATCGGGCGACCTGGGGGACCCAACGTCAACACCACCATCACTTTTTCTTTAAGGGCTCTGCCTCTCCCTCAAACACATCCCAGCCATTGGTATCATCATTCAACTGAACTGCATAGACTTGGCTTAAAACACTGTGGGGGAACAGAGGTGAGCTTGGTGGGTTCCTGCCCTTGACCATAGGAAATGTAGACTCCCCTCTGCCCTCCAACATTATTCTTGGGCAAAGAGTGAACTGAATTAAGGAGGCAGAGGAATTTCATACTCCCAAAAGGAAAATGAGTACCTCCTCTAAGAGGCTGCACAGTTTGGCAGTACAGTAGGGTACAACCTGTCCCCCAATTCAAGAGGGGCCTGGGGCTGCCACTTCCAACTGTGCTGGGCAGAGCAATGTCCTTCTCCATGTCTCAGGTGCCTCCTCTATGAAATAAGTATAAAGCATCATAATCACGACCTACTTTAGTCCCAGCTTGTTATGAGGACCAAATGAGATCACTCATGTTGTAAAACCACTTTATAAACTATACCATGTAGACATTTAGATATTATAACTACAGAATATTTCTCAAATTAGAGTTTCCTCTAAGAAGTTTTATATATACTGTCATATCTTTAATTTCTTATAAATAAAAAACATTTTTAATTAAAACATTTTCTTTAAAAAATCTCTTACAAAAACAGTCACATACTTAATTTCTTTCAAGGAACCACATAAAAAGTGGACGTATATGCTAATTGAAAAGAGGTTTCTAAAGTTTGTCTTCATGAGATCTACCTTGAAGTGGGCCACCACTAGGGGAGTAAAAATATGAAAGTTTGGACTCCATCAGATTTTATGCCAAAAATTAGACACTTACCTTTTTTTGCAGTCTTTTCCAGATAAGGAAAATTGTTAGTGTCCCCAGATCCAACTTTGAAAAACGGAACATTCAGTTCGTGCAGAAATTCAACTGCCATCTATAAAAATCAAAGAGGAGCTCCTTTTCACTATTGTTTAAAAACACTGTCCTCACAACAGAGGAGGAATAACATACAAATAGACAACCCACCTCCTCTTCCCCAGCAAGAAGGACTCCTAACAACTTGAAAGCAAGCAAAGATTTGTTCTCAGTCATTTCATTCAAACATTTATTCGTAGCCCCCCCATCCACTTGTCCAACAGACACTTAGTGCTGGTCTGCACTGGTCTGCACTAGGGAATATCCCTGGCCAGGCCCTGCCTTCCCCAGGGGCCCAGGGAACAAACACAAAAGGGTCATGACCTAATGTTGACACAGAAAACCAGGCAGTGAGAAAGTGAACAGTCCTCAAAGGCTTTCCCCTTTACTCAGGGCCAAATAGGCTGCAAAAGAGGTCATTTCAATCCTTGCCAAAAGGGGAAAATGGAGCATTTTGTGGGCCAGCCTTGACAATGATCCACAGTTGGCAGGGCCCATTAAACCCAAGCCCTTTCAGACCTCAAACCATGCAGCCCACAGAAAAGCAAACCTTGGCCACTTTTTTGGACACAACATCACTGCTTGAGATTGTCTAGCTAGGGCTCTTCAACATCCTTCTCTGAGATTCATCAATAAGACTCAGGAAATTAAACATCAGTAAACATTTGCTGAAGGAATCAGTAGATCACAAATTACAAGCGTAAAACCTCAGTTTGCTATCAAATTAAAATAACTCAAAAGACTACTTTTTTACTACTCTTTGTTTTCAGCTTTATCGAGGTAAGATTGGTATAGCAAAAACTGTATAATGTATATACAATTTGGTGAGTTTGGAATATGTATACTATCACCACAGAGTAATAAGCATATGCATCACCTCCAAAAGCTTTCTTGAGTCCTTTTTTTAAAAATTAAAATTAGACATCAGATGGGGGGAAGAATCAATGTCTCTGAATGGTTCCAAATACCTTAATTCCATCCTAAAACCCTGCCTGAAATTCAGAGGTAAGTTAGGGCTTGATGAGCTAGGTCAATGCTTCTGACACTTGATCGTGTGCACACAAATATCCCAGGGGTCTTGCTAAAATGTAATGCAAATTCTGATTTTGCTGGTTACAGTGGTGCCTAAAAGTCTATTAAGTCCCTTGGTAATGCCACTGCGCTGCTGCTGGCCCAGGAATCACACTCTGAGTGTCAAGGAGCTGGATGACCAGGCATGAAAATCCAGGGGCTGAGTGTGGTAAGGAACATAGGAGAAGATCATTCTGAGAGTGTCTCTTTAAATCCACCCACTGCAGCCTGAGCTCCGTCCATCTTCCCAGTAGGTGATGAGCTACTCCAAACACTGCTCCTGACTTTGCTCCCGTGTAAATCCTCTAATGCGGAGTTGCTGGAGAGCCTGGGGAGCAGTTAGGGGGCCAGCGAACAGCGTTAAGGCACAGTGCAACCCTCGCAGTCCAGGAGACATGGGACAGTGTGGCCTGAGTGCCACTCACCTGCGAGTGTCTACCTTTCATGCCGTTCTTGCTGCTCTTCCCTCTGCTTTATTTTTCCTCTTCTCTTTCCCCTTCCATATTTTTCTGCCTCACTCTTTCCTCCTGTGTATGTGTCTCACACTGTTAACCAGCCCTAAGATAAGACTGAAAAACATCTGTTTATAATAGATTTATTGAACAAAATCTAATTTTCCCATCTTCTCACTCACTCTGGCAGATGAAGAGGGTGTTTTCTGTTTAAAGGGGAAAATCTCATACTAAGTTTTCTCCTATATAATGTTCCACTGTGGAGTGTGGCCCTCCAGGGCATAAACACCTGGACGAACCCACTCAGGAGAAGGGCAGTGCCAGCAGGGACAAGAAGGGGTGAAATACAGAGAAAAAAACCATTCTGCAAAAGCTCACTTACAGAGGCTATAAAATCTGCATGGATTTCTATAATTTTCAAGCAAGACATTAAGGGGCAGATTCCCATGGAAAGGGAGAAGCGCCACATTTTGCAGTCCTCCTGGTGAGCCAGCGCCTCCTGGTGGCCATTTAGAAAACTGCCACTTCGGAGTTATCGCCCTGGGCAGGGCATCCCCTTCAGTAATCTGGAAGGTTCTGACTGGCCTTCTGCCCCGAGGAGGTAGCGCTGCGCCCTGGGGAAGCCCTCTTCTTTCAGAGGACTTTTGGCTTCCCCTAGCCTGCCCACCTTGCTGTCGGGTCCCCTCTCCATGTAGGGAGCAACGCAGCCAGCTGCCTCAGGACCCCCTCCCTCCCTCCCTTCCACCACCACAGTACAAAGCCTTTTGGAAAGGAACTCAGCCCCCTGTGACCCTCCTCCAGCACCCTACTGGGTTCAATGCCCAGAATAGGGCCCCAAGGACAGATCCCTTTGGGGGAAACGCTGCACCGCAGTAATTGCTTAGAGGGTCCTGGTAGATCGACTTGTTGGACTTTTAAACCCAGGGTTGCTCAAACTTACTTGACTCAGAACTTTTTTGATTCCAAATCAATTAATTAATGATGATGAACGAGTACCCACAGAACCCCCTCTCCGTACTACGTCCTGTAGAAACTTTGAGAATGGCTGATCTAAGTAAGGGGTCACAGGAAAGAGAGGAGCGGAACTGGGATTTTTCTAAAGCCCCCTCCACTCCCCTCAGTTTTTAGATCTTGTAGGAAAGGAAAAAGAAGCCCATGGTGATGAGTTGGGGAGAACAGGGAATGTGCCAGAACTGCCCAGGATGAGGAGATGTTGATAGGGAAGCATGAGCCATAAGAAGACTGGGCCTGGCCGGGCGAGGTGGCTCACGCCTGTAATCCTAGCACTTTGGGAGGCCGAGGCCGACGGATTGCTTGAGGTCAGGAGTTCAAAACCAGCCTGAGCAAGAGCGAGACCCCGTCTCTACTATAAATAGAAAGAAATTAATTGGCCAACTAATATATGTAGAAAAAATTAGCCAAGCATGGTGGCGCATGCCTGTAGTCCCAGCTACTCGGGAGGCTGAGGCAGCAGGATCGCTTGAGCCCAGGAGTTTGAGGTTGCTGTGAGCCAGGCTGACGCCACGGCACTCACTCTAGGCTGGGCAACAAAGTGAGACTCTGTCTCAAAAAAACAAAACCAAAAAAAGAAGACTGGGCGTGCCCTCAGCGTGGTGGCTGTTGGGGGACACTGTGACTTGGACAGAGGCAGGAGCCCTGCTGGCAGGGCAGGACAGGAAGAGGCAGGTGCTGGAGGGAAGGGCAACTCTGCTGGGATGGTTGTTGCATGTGAGGGAAGCATGTCCCTCAGGGGCCACCTCTAAAGTCCTCACTTTCATTTGCTTTCTCAGTAGAACTTTCCAGTTAGACTAAAGACACTCTCTGCTCATTTCACCTGAGTTACAAGCCTTGGTGCACCTTTTGACAAGGTTCCCTGATAGTTTTCTTGGCTTTAATAAAATTCTGCCACACCTTAACATTTCCTGGAGACACAGAGAACGCCCTAGAACAGCATACAGAGTGGAAAAAACAGCCCCTCAATAAATGCCTCCTGTCTATAAGGAAGTCAGGGTGGGTAAAGATGGAGCCACTGGCTAGGTAAATACGGAACACCACAGACAGCCTGGTAGACAAGAAATGCTGGTTCAGCAACAGGGACCTGGTCAGCCAGGTAAATTAACACTTGTAAAGTCTCCTAAGAATGCATTCTTCTCTCACTCCCAGTGCCCCAGGTCAGTCAGGGGACTAGCTGGGAACAAATGGCATTCCTAGGACAGAGGAGCCTCTGAGCCCAATTAGGTAAGCTGAAGCAGAGAAACTCCTAAGGGTTCTGAGTGAGAGAAAGCTATCAGCAAGTGGGTGCAGACCCGCCAGTGCTTGCACTCAGCAGGCGTATCTTACTGGCTTACCGCAGCCCTGAGGGAAGGCCTCTTTATGATCCAGTTTTTACAGATGAGGCCACTGAGGGTCCAATAGCTTACCTGAAGAGCCCAAGCCACACAGAAAATGCCAGCACCAGGACCGGAGCTCAGAGAATATGGCTCCAGAGCATGCGTCCCAGACACTGGAGAGGGCTTCCTGGGGAGTGGAGGAGAAAGAAACCAAAAAGGGGTACAGGCAGAGGAAGCTCCCAACACCGAACACCCAGACTCCTTTGTATCTTCCAGCAGCTCCTGGTTCTCAACCGAAGCTATCTAGAAGGAAACGACCTAAAGAAATGACTTTTCCTCAGCAGTCTCACAGATGCGAGGAGGTATCTTTTTCCTACACTCAGATTCAGAACCTCAGGGGCTGAAAACAGAATGAAGCAGAAAAAGTCCTCATTCCAGGTGTAAGTCACCTTGGTGACATCTCCTCTGGTTCTACGCTGACTCGGGATGACAGAGCAGGAAGAGCCCTTGGACAGCAGCTTGTTCACACACAGAAAAGGAAATGGAGGCCCAGGGAAAGTTCCCTTCCCTCCAGCACCTGCCTCTGGTACACCTCAAAAGGGTCACACTGAGAGTTAAGGGCAGAGTCAGGGCAAACACCCGGATGTCCCGGTCCTTAGCCCAGGTTGCTTTCTGTGAGTGCCAATTGTGTGCTATGCTTTATATCAGTGATCACACTTAATCCTCACAACGAGTCTACCAGATGGGTTCCGCTACTTACCCCACCTTACAATTGAAGAAACGGAGGCACAGTGAGGTTAAATAACCTCTGAATGGACACATCAGGAATGAGAGGCAGAGCATATTCAAACTCAAAATTTGACCCTAAGGTCCACTCACTTAGCCACCAGGCCATATAACCAGGGTACAGACCAACAGCAGGGGTGTGCACTATATAGCTGGGAAAATTTTTTGGAGATTTGTGACAATTTGAAAAAACTTGCAGATGAACTGTGTAACCTAGAAATACTGGGAAAAAAAGTTAGATGTGTCAAGGATGCATAAAATTTATGTAGGTACAGTCTATTTTATCATTTACTACCAAAAATATACACAAATCTATATATACCATGTAGCAAAAATATATATCATACAGCCAAGGGATGCACCATTCAGCAGGGGTTCTTAACAAACAGGTTAGGAGGCTGGGCGTGGTGGCTCATGCCTGTAATCCTAGCATTCTGGGAGGCCAAAACGGGCGGATCGCTCAAGGTCAGAAGTTTGAAACCAGCCTGAGCGAGACCCCCATCTCTACCAAAAATAGAAAGAAATTAACTGACCAATTAAAAATATATATACAAAAAATTAGCTGGGCATGGTGGCACATGCCTGTAGTCCCAGCTACTTGGGAGGCTGAGGCAGTAGGATCACTTGAGCCCAGGAGATTAAGGTTGCTGTGAGTTAGGCTGACACCACAGCACTCACTCTAGCCTGGGCAACAAAGTGAGACTCTGACTCAAAAAAAAAACAAACAGGTTGGGATTAGTCCTCCAAACAAAGTACTTCTCAAAGTAATTACTCTGGAAAAAGCCATATGCTTATTCCAAAGATAATACTAGGGATCCAAAATACTTTGTACTCTTCTTTGGGCATTTTCTCCAGAGCCTACTTACGGGCCCTGCAAAAAACCAAAATCTGTTTCATTACTTACCTGTTACTAAGTCAGTTCATATCATAAGTTTTGCCCAGGAATTTTAAGCCTATTCACATTTGGCATGACAATTAGTTGCTTCTCAAACCTAAAGCTGCCCTCTAAGGACAAGGACTTGTCTGTCCCTGAGTGACTGAGTTATACAGCAGTTCCCAAAAAGCAATCCCAAACGATTCTGAACCAAGAGTACCTGAAATAAGCATATAACAAAAACAAATGACAAATCTGTGGTATGACCCTCCTTTCATCAAGTTATTTACATAAGCACGATCCTATGTCAAGACCTGGGTTCATGGTGGTGAACACAACAGACGTGGGCCTGTCTTGAGTACTGCACTTTACATAGATGATCTCACCTGTTGCAGAAGACAAACCTACATGCTGGGTATTTTTAACCCACCACCTGACCCTTTATACATGAAGAAACAGGCCCAGAGAAAGGCAAGAACACTATGGTCAGGGGGCCAGGCTCTGGAGTCAGATCGCCTGGGTTGGAATTGAGCCTCTGCTGATCACCAGCTATTGACAATCTCTCTGTGTGTCAGTTTCTTCATCTGTAAAATGGGGATAATAACAGTCCTAGCTCAAGGGATCAAGAAGAGTAAATGAGTCAGTAGGGTTAAAATACTCAGCCCAGAACTTGGTAATAACAAACACTCAAATGTCAAAGATCCTTGTTCTTGATCACTCAGCTGGTTATGATAAAACTGTAAACAACACCCAAGTCTTTTGGATTTCGAAGCCCAGGTTCTTTCTTCCTTAACCATTTTTGCCTTATAGATCCTTTAAGGGTCTGATAAAAGCCACTAATCCTCCCTTATGTTTGGCTCATTCATTCATTTATTCATTCAGCAAATATCTCCTAAGTACTTACTATGTGCTAGGCATGGGGGATTTGTGGGCCTAACAGTCTGGTAGGGAAAAGAATATTTAAGACATAATTACAGAGGGAATGTGCACCATGAAAGCATATGGGGAGGGGAACCTAAACCAGGTAGGGCACAGGAAGAATTCCCTGAGGAAGTACTATTTAAGCTGGGATCAGAAAAATGCCCAGGGCCAGGGTGCTTGGCTCCTAGGACAAAAAGCCCAAATTCCATCTTCCTGTCCTCCAAGTGACCATCACTTTGAAAGAACAATATTTAACCAGAAACAAAACTCAGTGATTTGTCTGATGAAAAACAATCCTATTTCTTTAGAGGACACTCCACACAGTCCCAGAATCCCTCCCAGGCTGCGAGTACACCCAGAAGGGCTCACACAATAATGTCCCTGAAATGTCTTCCTGGAAGCTGTTTGGTTCTGCTGTGGATACTTACGTGACTTACTCATTCTTTTCTGAAATGGAGGCTGCTCTGCCACCAGTTCAAACTGAATTTGCGCAAACCCAGTTCTCAGATTGGAACTGGTCGCAGACTAGGTCCCTGCCTCAGCCTGCGGGGCAGTAATTAGTTAAAGATCAGCAATATATCTATATAACCACTTTAGTAAGTTTTCCTTAAAAAAAAAAAATCTGTCCTCTTGCCTCCTAGGCAGCTCTTGGGCCCAGAGACTCTCCAGTCAACATCAGTCTTGAGCCAGTGCTGAGGGTGGTACAGAGCAGGGGAAAGCCCAGTGGCTCTGCAGAGCTCTCAGACATTCACTACAGGAGTGTGATGCCCTTAGAAGCCTGGGCAGACTTCCAGAAGGCAGCAGCTGCTGAGGATCTTGGAAGTACACTGCTCTAGGCATCAAACTGCTGCCTCCAGGACCTGTTTCCTAACTGTGTGATAATAAGCAAACTTCCCAGCACCTCTCAGTCTCCATTTCTTCATCTGTAAAATGGGGCACTGTGGGGATAAAGTACATTACTGCATGTGAAGATGCTTTGTAAACTATATATGTGTAATTCAAAAGTAGGGAAACCTGAGTGCTAAATGCACAGTTAGAACTGAAGAACGTCATGCTTATGAATGCTGTGAATTAAGAAATGAATTTGGTCTAAAGAACCGAAGCCTGACACTGCCAAATTTCCCAGAGGCCCAGGTCCTCCACCCCTCCTCCCCTCCTTTTTCAAACCACCAATGGCCTGGGCTGCATGTGTGCTTATTTTGACTCAATTTACAAATATATTTTGGAATTGGAAAGGTGGCACAGTATCAGAGGTATGCTTTAGACAATCTGGTTGACCAAAAGAAAAGAAAAAGTGTTTCAAGACAGCCAGGTGCATGGCTCACACCTGTAAGGTGGGAGGATCATTCAAGGCCAGGAGTCTAAGACCAGCCTGGGCAACAAAGCATGACCCTGCCTCTAAAAAGAAAATATGGATCTAATATATGTGAATCACTCAGAATGGATTTTTTAAAAGAACTGTGTAGGAAGCCATAAAAATGTTATTAAGTTTCATCTAATAATCTATTTCTAAGAAGATATCTTAAAGAAATAACCCAAAACAGAAAAAAGATGTTTATCTCGGCACTATTAATAGTACAAAAAACTGAAAGTAACCTTCATGTCCACAAGTAAAAGAATGGGTAAGTATATTATATCTCATGCTCCAGAAGAATATTATATTACACTGCTGTTAAAATCTTTAAGCATAGGGTGAAAGCTCACGGTATGATGTTAACTAGAACAAGCATGCATAGAACTAAGTGTTTACAAATAGTACAGGCAGCCAATAAAATGTGTATATGAAAAGACTTCAGGAGGAAATACATAAAAGAGCTGCTATATAGAGATTATGGGTCAGTTTTTTTCCCTTTTTCCTGTTTTCTAGACTTCCTATAATGTTATTTTGACAACTAAAAATTTTTTACATTCAAAGAAAGAACACATGCAGGACTCTTAAGGAGACAGTCACAGAGCAGATGGGACCTGAGACCTGGCTCCAGCTGGACTCTGCTAGAATGTCCACATGGCCAAGCCAAAGCCACCCAGGACCATCCTGCGAGCCACACCCTCCCAGACGGTGCCAGTATCGCCCCACCCAAGTCAGTCAAGGCCAGTCAGCAAGGGGCAGACTCCTGTCGGAGCTGTGGTTTCCAGGCTCCTAATCTAGACCATTTTCCACTGGAAAAAACCTGACCACACTGGGGTGTCCCCACAAGCTTTAAGGGACACTGGGGTTCCAGCATGGCTGCCCTCTGCTCTCAGAGACAGCTTGCTTTTAAAGCTATGGCTTCCTCCCCCAGACTGTCACTGGGCCTTGGCTCCTGCTGACCTCCCCCAGAGTTGGGCACAGACTAGTGAGCAAGGTAGAGCTGCCTATACACAGAACGCCACCAGGCTGCCTGCTGTCCCCTGGGTCTGCTAGAGTGACAAATGATGGAGTGACAGAGGGCTCACCTCGTCCATGCCAGAGGCAGTGAAGAAAATCCCAACCTCCTTGGCATATCTCTGCAGCTCCCTGTACTGGTCGTGGCTGAACTCCAGGTGCCGTTTGTGCTCCCCGTATGTCTGCCCCCAGGAGTGCTTCGAAGTGTATGGCCTCTCCAAGGCTTTCCGATTGAACTTGAATTCCAGCTCACTCTTCTGGAACTTGGCACAATCAGCCCCACACTCCTGCAACACACATCAGGAAGCCTTTCAGTGATCTGTCACACATTCTTGGAGATAGCAGAAATGTTGGGGTAACCGAGATGACATCACTATCTCTGAATACAGCAGATTGTTTTTAGACTGATAGAGACCTTAAGGACCCCCAGAGAAGAGAAACAGGAAAAGCAAGAAAGTCCAGAAGGAAGAAAAGGTTGTTTGGGGATGGAAGATCTTCCCTCTATTTTTCCCTTTTAAAATATTAATACAAAAAAGTGTAGGGCTTTTTGCTCTGTTTTATATTGTAATATTACAAATACTGAATCAGAGGGTTAAGGAAGATTTTTTTTTTTTTTGAGACAGAGTCTCGCTTTGTTGCCCAGGCTAGAGTGAGTGTCGTGGCGTCAGCCTCGCTCACAGCAACCTCAAACTCCTGGGCTCAAGCAATCCTTCTGCCTCAGCCTCCCAAGTAGCTGGGACTACAGGCATGCGCCACCATGCCCGGCTAATTTTTTCTATATATATTAGTTGGCCAATTAATTTCTTTCTATTTATAGTAGAGATGGGGTCTCACTCTTGCTCAGGCTGGTTTTGAACTCCTGACCTCGAGCAATCCGCCCACCTCGGCCTCCCAGAGTGCTAGGATTACAGGCGTGAGCCACTGCGCCCGGCCCATTAAGGAAGATTTTAAGTTATATAACTCAGCAGAGGATAGTAAAAGGAGCACTGGACCAGAATTTTGTAAAGAAAGTCAGATTCAGGCTTAATTCTGACCCTAACTCTTAGCTAAGTCACTTCCCATCTCTGGAGTCAGTTTCTCCATCTATATAAAGAGCAATCTGGGCCAGCTCCAGGACTTGTAAACTGTTCTGAGGAGCCCCTTTTAGGGGCAGGGAAAGGAAGGGAAGGGCCCCGTTCTCTGACTTCAGCAATAGCAACTCTGCTTTTTGCTGTTTTGCACTGGTGCTTTGCTGCATGTTCTGTTTGTTTGAACAACAACAACAAAAACACTGAGAAATGCCCCAGCCTAGGTAATCTCTGCTGAGCAGAAGTGATTATATAAAAGCTGGATAGTTTGACTGTGAAAGCTATAACTCTATCGCACTTCAGCCTCCAATCTCCAAGAATTGTTTTCAAAAACTACTCAATAGAAAGAATAAGTAAAACCCTCTGAAGTCTCATCTCACTGCCATTTCTGTAGACCCAGAAGTATTCATGCTATTGAAAATCTCTTGGGTGCAGAAACAGAAACAGTAGTGCTAAGCGTGCTACTCCAACTCCTGAAAATATCGTGAGATGGCACGGTCGGGACTTGGTGCTGGAGAAAAGTTCAAGGAACATTAGAACTGAAAGTGACCTTGGGCAACAGAGTTCTCACTGTCTAGATAAAGATCCCAAGGCCCAGAGTGACTTGACCAAAGTCACACAGTGTCCCCGCCAGGTCCCTTTCCTAAAGCCTGCAGGACCATTCATTCGTGCGCTGGCCTGTGCCTGCAACAGGGACTCCTGCTACCCCAGCTCCCTATATGAGAAGGCCTTAGCAGAGTTGTTTCGGGCTCCCCTTGCTTCTCGTCTCTCTCTGAAGACGCAGACTTCTTAACTTTTAACTTCTTAAGAACTTTTAACTTCTTAAGAACTTTTAACTTCTTAAGAAGTTAAAAAGCTTGTCTCTATCTGGGCAAACTGCTCTTTACATGAACACAACAAAGGTGAAATAGCAGAAACCGCTAATGACAAGAACTCAGAGTTGTACTACATTCTATATAACAACAGTGGTATGAAGAGAGAACAGCTTCGCACTCTTCTTTTCTCAGTTTCTTTTCTAAAAAATGAGTGATTTCTTTAACTGTTTAATGCTACGGGGAACTCTAGCTTCAGGAATCATCACCCGTGTTTCACTATCATGCAGATGGTTTCTTTGTTCAAAGTTGTATTGCTTCTCTAACGGTAAAAACAAGCAGCAGAACACCATGATGATATGCCGTTCTCACCAGTATTTGAAAGCGAAAAGTATAGTCAATTAGTAAATCTCTAATTATAATAATATGTTTACATTTGTATATAATTACATAGTTTAATAAAAATAATTTAACAAACTCTCCTTTTAATATTGCAAACAGATTTGTTGTATAAGCAAGCCAGCTTGTACATAATACACTATGGGTAACAGAAACTTGCAAATGTGACTCCATCTACAGAAGGCAGCCAAGGCAAAATTAAAAAATCCTAAAACATAAGGATTTCAAGAAATTCTATTGCGTTAAATTTTGAAACAAACACGCACACATATTGTAAAGCACGGAAAACTAAGGCCTAGAGATGAAAGTCACCTGTCCAAGATCATTCAGCTAGTAATGATATCCTGACACCAGTCCAGGGCCCTTTCCACTTTACTATAGCCTCAACCTCTTCATTCTCCTCCCCCAGAGAGAACTATCCACCAAAATTAAAAGACAGAAAGTGAGAGAGAAAAGCTATAACTTTGTTTCCATAACTTCCATATCTCTAGGAATTTTTATAGCATTCAAAGAAGTATACCTTGGAAAAACTGACTGCTCCCCTAAATTGAGAGCTGGAATTTCCCCCTAGGAAACAATATACAAAGGCTGGAGCCCTGTGACTAGGAGCAAAGACTTTAAATATTTATCACTAGCTATGTGCTCTTGAGCAAGTCACTTATCTTCTCTTAGCCTTTAAAAGGAAATCTACAGCATCACACCTTTGGGTTATTGTAGGAATTAAATGAGATGGTGCATTTAAAGCACTTAGCCCAGTATCTGGTAGAGTAAGCACTCAAAAAATGTCAGCAATTGTTCCTTTTTAAAAATATTTTTATGACTCAGTGATTAGGCTTCCATAAAAGCAGTTAGTCCTGAAAGAAGAGTAAGACAAAACCTAATCACAAATGATACTAAATCAGGTGAACTGATACAGGGAAGGAAAGATGGTGTGAGCTATTTGCTTAAACCAAGGAATCACAGTGCAGGCCTTAAGTTGGGGGCTGGGTCATAATGAAGAACATGGCAGTCCCTCCCTTCAGGGGGGACTCAAAGTCTAAAAGAGAGAGAGGGAGAGAGAGAAGCTTAAAGATAAATCATAATAAAATGGGGAGGGGTTGGTGAAGGCATCCAAGATGTAGACCTGAACACAGCTCGGGAGCATTGGTATTCATAAACATCATATCACTAATAGCTGACATATATGAATCCTCTGTGCCAAGTACTGGGCTAAGAGCTTTACTGGAGTTATCTCATTTGATCCTCATAGCAACTCGGAGGTAGGTACCACTATTATCAAGCCAGGTTTTCAAATAAGGAAACAAGTTTACAGAACATAAGCAACTAGCCCATGTTCATACAGCTAGGAAGTGATGGCGTCAGGATTTGAACTCAGAGCCCTGGCCCACTGCATATTCCACACACAGGGAATGGCAGGTGAGAGGGACCACAGCAACTTCCAAAAACTGCAATTCCTAGAATTCAATGTTGCTGGAGGATGTCAGAGATTAAATATGATGGGCAGGAAGGGACCAGGTCATCAAGATCTTGACGGCTATGTTAAAAGGTTTCCATGTATCTGAGGGCAATAGGGAGCTACTGACGGTGCTAGGGGTGCTATGATCTTATCAAGTCTGTATTTTGGAAAGATCAGTCTGGCACCAGAAGCGGGAGGAAAGCGGTCGAGTTAGGAGGCAACTGCTGTAATGTAGACAAGTCAGGAGGGCAGTCGAGCAGGAGATGGGGGATTCCAAAGATCTGAAAGAGGGAACTGGCGGGACAGGCCGGAGGCAGAGGACCGAGAGGGCGAGGAGAGCGGTCCGCGCTCCCCGAGGCCCCGCCCCGCCCGGCGCCCCTCTCTCCCGGAGCTCCCTCACCTTGGCGGTGCGGATCATGCGCTTGGCCACGTCCAGGTCGCCCTGGTGGTTCTGGCCGATCTCGGCAATGATGAAGCACGGGTGCTGCCCGCCCACCCAGCGCCCAGGACACAGCTCCAGCTCCAGCGGCATCGCGGCAGCTCGCAGTCCGGCGCCTCACTGCCAGCCTCCGTCCGGCCGCCGCCTCAGCGGGTCCGGCTTGCAGCCCGGCTGGGCCCACACGCCAGCCCGCCACGTCAGCCCGCGGCCGCCGCGCAGCCAATCCCCGGGCCCAGCCTTGCTCCCCGCGGCCAATGGGGGAGAGGGGCGGGGCCTTCCGTGGGAGGGGCGGGGCGCGGGGTCCCGGCGCCCTCCCCTGCGCTCTAAGAGCAGCTCCCGGCCGGGCGACGCGGTCTGTGAAAGTGTCTGGGTTCGTGCGCGCACCCAGGCGCAAGCGCTCCCTGAAGGAGGCTGTTGGCGGCCTCCAGAGCCCACGTGCAGCTGCTAGGGCATGGGGAGAGCGCGGTCTTCGGTGTAATGGGAAAAACGGATTCTGGAGTCACAGAGCAGGTTCGAGTCCAGCCCCCGCCACTAACCAGCTCTTAATCATAGATACGTTACTTAGTCTTCCTGAGCATTCTTTTTCTTTTTCCCTGAAGTAGATCTATGATGTAGAGAAACCTCTGATCACAGTACTTGGCATGTAGTAAGTAGCCGTTTCTATTGTATGAAAGGCAGCAAGTTCAAGAAGTTCCACTGACTTGTCCAAAGTCATCCGGAAGGCCAGAGCAAAGTTGGGACCAGGACCCTGGACTGCCGCCCAGCCCAGGGGTCTTAAAATACACTGGGCTGGATTTCAGACAAACTTGAGACATAGAGTCAGACTGATTTCTAGCTCGGCTTACCACCAGAACCCATGAACAAAATAAAAACAATACCGAGAAAGCACCTCTGGATGGAAGGTGAGAGGGTAGGTTTTGGACATGTTGGTATCAAGGCGAAGGTAACACTGCCCAGCAGGGTTGGGTGGGGGGAGGCAGCTCTGAAGCTCAGAGGTCTGGCTGGACAGGGAGATCTGGAAGCCACTCTAGGTGAGGAAAAGCCTGAGGACAGGCGGGACTGCTGCAGGAGAGAGTATGCAGAAGGGTGAGCCGAAGACCACCCAACCTTGAGCAGCTACCCGGGGAAGAACCGAGAAAAGAAGTCAGAAGCAAAAAACAGATAGCAAGTGTGTGTCCCGAGGAAGGGAGACTCACAGGGTCAAAGGCCTGGAGCAGTCCAGGAGAATGAGGAACAAGAAGAGACAGTAGACTTGGGCATCAGAGGGCCACTGGAGACAACAAATTTGGTGGCCAAGGGGAGTTGAGGAAACAGGAATGAAAATAGATCTTTTCTTAGAAAAGCTTAGTTGTCAAAGCAGGTGGAAAATGGACCCTGGGCTGGAGGGGGCCCAGAGTTGAGGGTTCTGAGGAAGTGCATGTTTGGAGACCAAGAGGAAGCAACCAAAGGAAGGAGGGGGATGGAAATGGGTTTCATTCATGCACAGCACGTGGGTGTCTGAGCTAGACTGCATGCGCTTTGTGTCTCAAGTTTAAATGGACTTTCACATTATTGGGTGAAGCTGAGCAGCAGACGTCTATCACAGAGAAAATGAAATCCAGCACTAAAGAACTCAGTCACTTTTGGCTAAAGAAAACTATTGTGGTTTTGCATAATTTGTGAATAAATGGAAATTAAATTTGAAGGGGAAAAAAAAGAAATCACACAAATAGTCATCCCACAAAAACAAGTTAGGCTAATGTTATTTGTGACTAAAAACTTTCAGTACACTAAAATAGTAAGGAAGAAAGGATGCAACTTCAATTCCACTCTTGTTCTTGTATTTAAAGCCAGTTTCTAATGCTTTCTGGTGCTTTTTCTGCTTGAATAATAAGTCAGTGTTCAGTTTGTCAAAATGAATGAGAACATGAAGGAAAGTCTTTGAAAACAAATTAAAAGCTGGGTGTGGTGGTGCATGCCTGTAGTCACAGCTACTTGGGAGGCTGAGATGGGAGAATCACTTGGTCCTAGGAGTTCGAGGCCAGCCTGAGTAATATAGGAAAACCAAGAAAGAAAGAGGGAGAGAAAGAGAGGGAAGGAGGGAGGGAGGAGGAAAGAAAGAAAGAGAGAGAGAGAGAGAGAAAGGAAAGAGAGAAAGAAAGAAAGACAAGAAAAGAAGAAAAGGAAAGGAGAGGAAAGGAAAGAAAAGAAAAGAAAAGAACCCAGTGAAGGATGCTTTGCTGATACTGGCAGGAGAGGGCAAGGAAGAACTTAGTTTTGGAGAAACTAGGGAACACAGAGTGCTGGTTCATCGGGTTGAGATTGAGGATGGGGCCCAGTTTCCAGATTAGACCCTCTGGGTCTGAGGCCCTAGTTACCACCCCGACTGTGCTAAGCCTCTTCTGAAGTTGGCTTCTAGGAAGCTTCCTCCAACCTAGGACTCCTGCCTACTTTTTTTTACCACTCTGTGCTCCAGCTACATGGAACTATTTTGAGTTCCCCCAAAGGATCATGTTCTGTCACCTCCAGGGCTTGGCACAGGCTGCTTCCTGTGCCTGTACACTCCCCACTCCTCCCACTCCTTACTGAGCCTTGCCTGGCCACCTTCTGCAGGTCCTTTGGCCTAGAAGTCTCTTCTTCTCTGAAGCTTCTCTGATCTCCCCAATAACCTTTTCTAGGCTCCCACAGGACCCTTTTCTTCTCCCACTTCTCACACTTTATGGTAGCTGCCTCTTCTCTTGTCTGTCATTCCCTCTAGACCAGGGGTCCTCAAACTTTTCAAACAGGGGGCCAGTTCACTGTTCTAGAGCAGGGGTCCCTCAGACCTTTGGAGAGTGCGGTGCACATTCCACACATGGGCACTGTGGTCCCGGGATAAGGCGGCTGCTAAACAGGACAGGCAGTGGTGGCAAAAACATCCGGTGGGCTGGATAAATGTCCTAAATAAATGCCATAGTCCTAAATGTCCTAAATAAATGCCATAGTTTGAGGACCCCTGCTCTAGACTGTGAGCTCCTTTGGGTCGGGAACCTGCTCAGCACTAAACCCAGGGAAAAGCCTAGCAATACAAGGCTGAACAAGGCCAAGCAGGCCTCCCCAATGTTGCTGAGAGCCTTGGATTGTCACTGTGTCCTGCAGGGTTGGGAGCTCCTTGAGATCAGGGCTTGGACCGTTAACTACTCTATCCCCCGCACCAAGTACAGGACTTTTTTAACACCTAGTAGGTGCCAATAAATATTTTCTGAATGAGGAAGTGCAGAAAAGATGACAGCAATGACTGAGGCACAACTGACTTCATCTGTTTTCCTCAGGACACATTCTGGCACTACATGACTATTCCCTGAGTTGTCACTGAAGTCAGCTTTCTGGCAAGTTCCTCTGAGGAATAAGTGAGCTATGAGAAACCAGAGCTCCCCAACCCCAGCTGCCAAGGACCTGCCCTGACATCAAGTGGCCAAAGAGTCTGATTCTCCCCAGGGTCTCAAGCTGTTCCATTTACATCCCTGCTGGTCACACCCTCACCCACACCTTCCTGCTTCCTGGGCCTTGGTCCTCCTCCCTGTAACACTCCCTGTAACATAAACATCGTTTTTAGGCCGTCCCTGAGAGAACAAGCCCTCATCACACCCTGGTGTGGGGGGTGAAAGTCAACTCACACTGTCTCCCTCAGAGGGTTTGGACCTGTGCCATACCTCACTCACACATCCACCAGGTCACCCTCGAGTGCCTGCTGTGGGTCAGGGACCTCAGCAGGCGCTGCAGATAGAGTGCAGAACAAAGAGTTGTCGTCCTTTTCCTGTAAACTGTAGTTTACAATAAAAATAAACTATATTCACAAATAAATATATGATACTGAATTATAATGAAGGCAATGAATAAAACAAATTGGGTGTCATGTGGGAACTAGTAAGGGGACCTACATTATTTATTTATTTTTTTAGAGACAGGGTATTGCTCTGTCACCCAGGCTGGAGTGCAGTGGTGCGATCACAGCTCACTGTAACCTTGAACTCTCGGGCTCAAGGGATCCTCCTGCCTCGGCCTCCTGAGTAGCTGGGACTATAGGTGCATGCCACTAGGCTTGGCTAATTTTTCTATTTTTTGTAGAGATGGGGTCTTGCTATGTTGCCCACGCTGGTCTTGAATTCCTGGTCTCAAGTGATCCTCTTGCCTTGGCCTCCCAAAGTGCTGAGATTACAGGCATGAGCAATGGCTCTGGGCCCAGGGGGCCTACTTTATTCTTTTTTTTTTTTTTTTTTTTTTTGAGGCAGAGTCTCGCTTTGTTGCCCAGGCTAGAGTGAGTGCCATGGCATCAGCCTAGCTCACAGCAACCTCACACTCCTGGGTTTAAGCGATCCTGCTGCCTCAGCCTCCCGAGTAGCTGGGACTACAGGCATGCGCCACCATGCTCGGCTAATTTTTTTTTCTATATATATTAGTTGGCCAATTAATTTCTTTCTATTTATAGTAGAGACGGGGTCTCGCTCTTGCTTAGTCTGGTTTTGAACTCTTGACCTTGAGCAATCCGCCCTCTTAGGCCTCCCAGAGTGCTAGGATTACAGGTGTGAGCCACCGCGCCCGGCCAGGGCCTACTTTAGATGGTCAATCAGGAAGAATCTTTCTGAACAGTCAACATTTAGGCTGAGCCGACCCCCTCTCCAATTCCTACAAATGATAATAATCTCTTCCCTCTTCCCTCTCTAGATCCCTACAGGATACTGAAACAGTATAATGTCCTGAGAAAAGTACACAGTTTGGGACAAGTCAGGCCTGGGTTCACCTCTTGGCTCTTTCCTTTCATGCTGAGAAATCTCTCAACTTCCTCCTCTGCGAGATGGGGACAGCCACCACCAGAGGGCAGCAGTGAGGATTGCACGAGAAGAGGCGTGTAAGGCCCTTTTCAGCCCAGGTTCTTGTCCTGCCTAAACTGTTTCGGAGGGGTCTCATTCCTGAGCTCCCATTCCCTGGCCTGTTTCCACTGCCTGCCACCTGCCAGCACCTTCCCACCCTCAGACCTCATCCTGACAGTTTATGCCTATCACTGGCCTCGTCCCTGGTTAGGCTGGTCCTGCCCTCCCTGCACCGCAGCGGGGACAGTGGGTCTATGATGAGTCTCCACTCTCTCTTGACATCCTTCACTTCAAAGAGTCCTCAAAGCTTTAACAATTTTCACTCTTCTCCCATGTCGCTGTCCCTGGGAATCTCGTCCCTTCACAGGTTTTCAAGATCTGTATC